AGGGTACGGAAGCTAGTAGAGTACTACCTCTAATAGCCTTAGAATTACGCTATACTATCGATACGAGTACTATATCTAAATTTTTCCTTACCGACGAGCAACGTCGGAATAGGAGGAATAATAAGTCTACTATACGCCTAAATAACGGCGCTATAACTAATAATAATACTACTACTAATACTAGAAACGGCAATACCTTAGCTAGCGTCGACAACGGAAATACTAATACTAGATACGATAAGCTAGAGGCATTAGCAGGAAAGCTAGTAGACGCTATATAGTCTAATAACGCTACCGCCCTATAGTAGAATAATAACTATATAGAAGCGCCGGAATAGTAGCGATATACAAATCCTCGCGCGATACGTAGTAGAACTAGTCTAGGCCTATCGAGAGCTAAATAGCTAGCTAATTAGAACCGGAATGCTCGAGCTAGTATCGCTCCTAAGATCGGCTTAGAGCGCTACGCCTACGGCGCTCTACCTACTCGAGATCGGGCTAGCTTTATAGACCTAAGGTCCGAGCCTACCGAGGCCTACGCTCCTCTATATACTCCGGTATATTCTAGTCCTCCTTATACTCTAGTTACTAACTTTAGTTAAGAGGTTGTACTATATAAATTTAAGCCTAAGTAAGTTAGGTATTTTAATAAAGACCTTCCGGAGAGTAAGGGTAAGGGCCCGGTAGTATATATTAGGAATACTACCTATTATCGCGATGTTTTTATATTTATTACGCGCCTCGATATAGCTATTTAAGTAGGCGAATGTCCCGTAGCAACCCTACGTCTATTACTCTATAGATGTCTTTAGGGCTCTACCTTAGCCTAGTACCTTTACGGCCTTACTAAGGATCGCCGTACGCTCTTTTAGACTAGCCCGGGTATTAAGCGGTAGAAAGAAGCCTTACGTAAGCAGTTCCGATTAGACCCCTTAGTCGCGGCGCGCGAATTAGAATCGGAATAATATCGTATTAAGGAAGTCGCTATCCGTAAGAGCGTAAGCGAATTCGTTATTAACGTTATACGCCTAGCGTAGTAGAGCGGTATAGAATCGCTCGTAGGACAAATTAACTACGCGTTCCGAAAGATTACGCTAGAACTACGTAGCGATCTTAATACCCCTACGCTACTATAGACGTATTAGATGCTTATATAACTTATCGATATAATATAAGCCTATTATACGATATAGGTAGAGTTATATCCTCTAGGTAGTACTACTACTAGCTACTATAATAGTAAGTCTAACTTCCGGCGTAGCGATTTAGTATAGGGTAGGTTCGTAGATCCTAGATTCGCGTCTAGGTCTCGTTTTAATACTAGACGCTCGTCCTTCCTTAGAAACAATAACCCCTATAATCGGTAGTAGCCTAACCTATACTAATAGCGTCGTTAGCCTAGATCTTAAGTCTATAGCCGCTAGAGACCCTAAGGAGTAAACGTAAGCGTAAACGAGAAGATAGCTAACGCCCGTAGTCTCCCGTAGTATCCGAATCCTTAGAAATAGTAGACGAGTTTCGGAAATATAAGAGGTTAAGGAATTCCTATAAATTCTATAGCTACCGGTAAACCTACCTTCTTCTACGGTTCGGTAGACCTAGGGTAGGAAGCCGAATATTATAAAACCGAGTACGGCGACGTTAGCTAAATCGACGGTAGAGAGGAGACTAGGGATTAGTTTAAAGCTAGCGGAGATATTACTAAAGTCGATATAGAGGAAGAGTAAATTTTTCCTCCTACTAATCTATAGTCGACCCTAGTATACTACGCCTAGCTATAGGTTCGTAGACCTAAGATAACTACGTAGTCTTCCTATAATAAGACGCGGCTAGAGGGTCGTTAAACGCGTTATAATATATATAGAGAGGTTTTCCGATTAGCTAACGAATTCTTTAATACCTACCTCGATTATACGTATCCTAAAGATACTACTAGTAAGCGTACGAACGTTCTTTACGAACTAGCTTTAGGAAATCCCTCTAGCTAGAAGTAAAACTAGTTACTACTAGCTAGCCTAAGACCCTAAGTCTACCGGAAATCCTAGAATCCTTAACGATATTAGGAAACTTCGAACGCCTAAAGTCGCTAGGTTGCTTACTACCGGATAAGTATATAATTCTAAGCCTAATAGTAGCGACTATAATAGAATAGCCTAGCTAAGTACTAATAGCCGTATAATTATCGCCCCTTCTATAGCCTAAAGCCTCGAGTCTATCGATAGTAACTTAGTCTAAAATGCCTAAGTTATTATCGATATTACGCGCGCCTACGGTAGACTATCTATCTACGATAATAAACGTAGTTTTTTCTATAGAAGATTCTTCTACTAGAATCGCCTTATAATAAACTATATATAACTCTATTCCTATATTAGATTTATTACTAGGTATCTTAGTAGACGTAGCGACTACTATCGGGAAGTCTCCGATTAATCTAGATATAACTACGATATAGTCTTAGGTCTATTATATTACCTAAACGACTAAGCCTACGTTTAGGAAGCGCTCCTTCGATAGTATCGATAGCCTTAAGTTATAAGTCTATTATATACGAGAACGCTTATAGGAAACATTATAGATTATACCTTATATAGTAAAACTCCCTCCCGGAGATCTAGCTTACGCTTTTAGATATTACGATATCGTCGAAGCAAATTACGCCCTCGCTCCGGAAGGAGAATTTAAGCGCGTCTACCTTAATACTAGTATAAAGGCATCTATAATAGACCGCGAGTAGCTTACTACTTAGCTTAGGTATAATAATATTTAGTATCTTAAACAACCTCTCGAATTCCGTAGTTTAGCTAGAAGTATATAGTGCGAGTAATAGATAAATTTGTCGATATACTTTCCTATCTTCGCTAGGCATTCCTAGTTACCCGCTCTAGCCCTTATTATATAGCTAGTAAGGGTAATGCCTAACTTACCCTATAATATAGTACTCCTCGGGATAGATATTATAACTCCCGTAGGATTTGTTATTTATATAGGGGCTAGATATATCGAAATAATAGGGAATAGCGGCGCGCTTATACTAATCGCCTACTTACTAAAATCTAATCGCTTCCTACGCGCTAGCGTTAAGTCTATAGATAGGCTAAGACTACTACCGCGTATAGCCGTTATAGCTAAAGTATAAATCGATAAAGCGGAGTCTCTACGAGACGTAAATAGGGACTTTCTCTTTACGCTAGATCCGCTAGGTCTCTTAGGTACGGTAGTAGTATATACCTATATAGCTAGGCTAGATATACTAGCCGTATAAGTACGTAACCTTAGTTACGACGAAGACTTAATTATTTAACGATACCGAAGGATAGGCGAATTACGGGAGTTATAAATAGATAACGTTTACTAAATAGACGAGTTTAATACCGACCCGAGGTCTATAGAGCGTAAGATTAGCGGCTCGCCTCTTATAGAAGACCTACGGCTAATTAATAGACTCTACTATATCTTAGAACTATATAGAAATCTACCTACAAATCTCGATTAGACCGAAGTAAACCCGTAACCCTAGTAGATCCTTAAATCTTAACCTATACCTAGCGGACTTAGCGAAAGCGACGAGATAGACTTAATAGACCTAGATAGCCTAGCCGATCCTATAAAGATCTCGGTAGATACGGGGATAGCTACCGTAACAACCTCGGCGGGAGTAACGATCTATATAGCAAATCTAGACGCTACTATAGCCTTACGTATTAAGTCTATAGTAGAAAAATTCCCTTAGCTATAGACGGATCGAGGCACTATAATTAAGCTTCCCGAGGACAAATAGCTAGAACTCCTACTAAAGTTAAGATAGGAAAATAAGAAATTTAGTAGTAAGGTCTACTATATATCCGAAAAGGATAATACGGAGGTAAATAAGCAATTCGATAAGCTTTACGCTTAAGGCAAAATAGCGTATAGCGAAAAGCTATCGCCGCTAGCCTAGCTAGTCTTCGTAGTCTAGAGAACCTTATTTCGCGATAATAGTACTACGTATCGAAAGCCGCGCGTAGTTATCGATATTTAAGGCCTTAATAGTATATCTTAAAAAGACACCTACCTATTACTAATCTAGGACGATATTATCGTAAAATTACGCGGTTATAAGTATATTTCTATTATAGATATAAGGTCTATATTTTACTAGTTCGCCGTCGCTAAGAAAGATCGCTAGAAATTTACGGTTAATACTATATAAGGATAAGAATATCTAAAGGTCGCCGCTATAGGTTACTATAATAGCGTCTAATACGTATAGAGACTACTTAATAATACTCTACGTAAATTCGGCGACGTAGTAAACAGGTATATTAACGATATAGTTCTAGGCTCGGTAGACCTAGAATCTTATTAGAAATTGCTCGATCGCGTATTTATAAAGATAGATAATATACGATTTAGCCTAAAGCTAGGAAAGGCGTTTTTAGGTTCCCCGTCTATATAAATACTAGGTAGAAAGGTAGATAGAAAAGGCTTCGCGACGTAAGCGGAACAACTCGTAGTATTACGGGAATTAGAGAAACCTACTAACGCCGAGTAGCTCGAGTACTACCTCGGATTAGTAGGCTACCTTAGGTCTACTATACCGTATTTCGGTAAGATTACCCTCCCGCTATAGTAAGCTAAAGTCGTAGCTATAAAAGACTACTAAGCTACCTAGACGAAAGGTAGAAAGCGACGCGCTTAGATACGGGGCGCGTAACTCTATTAGACTAGCGAAATAGACGCCGCTTAGGAAATTATATAGTTAATATAGTCGGAAGAGTACTAAGGGTTCCTCTAGCACTTCGACCCTAAGTCTATCCTCTATATAGACGTTAATATATCTAAGGAGTTCGGAATTAGGGTTAGACCCCGTAGTAGTCCGGGTTGGTTTAGTTTGGTTTGCTAAGCCGAAATTCTAGTTTAGTTTAGTTTGGTTTGCTAAGAAACCGGTATACGGACCGGTTTGCCGGCTACGTACCGGCTATAGATAAAAACCCGACCCAAAACACGCCGGAACACGTCTAAACAGCCTGAAACACAGATGCAACCGTATAGCGTATGCAATATAGGGCCTCCGGACCCGATCCGAGGTCGTCGTATATCGTCGTAGTTTAGTCGGATTTCCTCGGAAACCGGCTTAGACTAGCGGGGTAAAAAACTAAACCGGAACCAAACCGGAGGGGTACCGCTAAGAAACTAAACTATATACGTTCTATAGTTCGTAAACCGAACTACTACGGGGTCTAATTAGGGTAATATACTACTAAGTTTACGGAAACCTAGATATCGAATATAAGGAGCCCGAACTAGTAACTCGTAAGGACGATACTATTTCGGATTTCGTAGATAGTACTACCTAGTTAAAACGATCTAAGCAATTTCCGCGTAATAGACTTAGGGTCTTAGGATTTACTAGCTATATACTTACGGGAGCCGAAGCCCGTTACTAGCCTACCGAACTCGAATTGTTCGGAGTAGTATAGGCAATTAAGAGGGCCTCTTATATAGTCGACTCGGCGTCGAAGACAATTATAGTTACCGACTATAGTATAGTTACCGCGATAGCTAAGAAGACGTAAATCGCGACGACAGTATCTACTACCGGCCTTAACCGCCGAATTATTTAAGCTATAGTATATATTTTATAGTTCGCAAATCTCGATATTATTTATAGGCTAGGTAGGAATTATATAGCCTTAGACGTACTCTCCTAACTATAGGGCGTAATTTCTCTAGATCGAAATAACTTTAATATAAGTAGCCTCGACGAGATTCTAGCTATATTTACGAGAATATAAACATAGGCGATAATAAGAATGCCCTCTAACCGTACGCCTATCGCTAAAAGCGAAAGTAATATTAAAGGAGTATAGGCTATATACGGATCGGGAGGAGATATAGACGATATACTAAATCCCCTAGCGCTCGTAATAAACATTAAATCCTCTCGCCTAAATTATAAAACAAGATCTCTAGCCCTCCTAAATTTCTATCTAAGCGTTCCTTTCCTCCCTACTATAGCGCTAGTTAACGTTATATCCCTATCTAGGATCGACTATACTAAATGTTTTCTTTCGCAAGCTAATAGATAGGAATACTAAGTCTACGATAAAATTCCTACGTTTTTCTAGAGTATATAAGGGGAACCTAGCTACTACGTCGAAATAGTTATATCCCTATCCGATAAATTTAAAACGCGACTTAGGTAGGTATACTAGGAAGATAGACTATAGAGACGACTACTTTTAGTCCTCTAGTCTATCGAAATAGCGTATAGGAAGGAATAATAACCTTAGCCCGAGAAGATATTAAACCGCTAAGTAAGGAGAAGATAAAAGCGTAAGCGTAATAAAGAGATTAAACGAAAGGCTATATACCTCGATATAACCTAGGACAAGGACGATAGTACGTAACTATAGGTCTATCTAGAAACGACGCCCGGCTATATCCTAAAGCCGCCTTCTCTCCGCCCTTCGAAGGATATAGCCGCCCGTAGCCTATAGAATACGCTTAAAAAGCTAGACGACGTTCCTATAGACCTAAAGTCCTTATAAAGTATTAGATTCTTTCGGGAAGACAGCCTTATTTACTACGTCGACCTAGCCTTACTCTACTTACGGCTTTATATTCCTTTTAGCCTTACTTACGAGATTTTCGAGATAGTATATAATCTTAGGCATTATACGGGATTCTAGCGCACCCTCGATCGAGTTAACGCTAGTTTCTACGTCCGAAACTGCCGCCGACATTTAGAATAGTATATCGACTAGTATAATATATATAATTTAAATTAATCCGCTTAGTATAAGCCTTATAGATAGCTTAACCTAATAGACCCGAAGTATAGACTTCCTATAGATGTCTAAATAGTAGACTAGATCGTAGGACTCCTACCTACTAACGAAGGCTTCGATATACTCCTTATAGTTACCTATAAGAAATCTAAACGAGTCTTGCTCCTTCCGGGCAAATACTAGTAGACTATAGAAACCTAGGCAGCCTAATACCTTACGTCTATTTAAGAGCGATTATAGCGAGTCGTAAAGGTTTTTATCTACGACCGCGATCCTAAATAGCTATTTAAATTCTTTACTATAATAATAAAGCTACTAGGCGCATCGATCCTCGCCTTTATAGCTTACTATCTATAGATAGACGGCTAGTCCGAGCGTATAAATTAGATAGTAGAGATCGCGATACGGTATTTTATTATAGCTAATCTAGATGCCTAATCGATAGACGTCCTCCCCTCCCTTATATCCTATCTTAGAAGTATTAAGAATACTAGTATAGGAGTGTCGCCTAATAAAATGCTATTTAGGTTCGATTTAAATACTAACGCCTTTATAAGACTTCGAGAACTATAGCTAAAAGATTACACGACGCTACGATAGCAATTTTAAGACGTAGCCGAGGAATCTATAGCCTTCGTAGTAGTAGATATAAAACACCGCTACGATAGTAAGTATCGGTATATATTCTTTAAGCCTAGAGACTACGCTATACTTAGGCTATATTACGGATATCGCGTATACGGTTAGACCTATCGCAAATATAGTAATTAAGCTATAGGCCCTTTTAAAATTAAGAGGAGAGTAAGTAGATTAGCCTACGAACTTAAGCTTCTATAATTAGTTAAGTTCTACCTAGTCGTATCGATAGCGTAGTTAGAGCTAGCTCTAAATCTAGCGAAAGATCCGTTCGTAAGACTATACGACCGTATTCCGGTACTAATAGACTTACGGTCTAAGTAACTAGTAATAACTCCTAAGCGCGTTTTAGGGAAGCGTAGCTTTAGAGGGAGAACAAAGTATCTAGTTAAGTAGAAGGACGAGTAGCCGATAATAAATAAATAGGTTCGGATAGACGAACTTTAGGAGAGTAACGCTTACCTAATCGACTAGTTCGAGAACTCCTAAGTTATAAATAAACAGATTACTTAAATAAAACTATCGTTAACGTTATAGAAGCCTACGTAGGTCGCGCTAATAGTAAAACACCTTCGATCTATCGAAAATAGTAGCGAGGAAGAATAATAGTAATAGAATACGTAGCCTATATAGCGCTAGCTACTAAGGGGACTTAGAGGAGGTAGAAGGCCGAATTATGCCGAAGACGACGATCCTAAGTCTATCGAGGAAGTCGCCTATTCTACCGCTAGGTAGGCGAAGATAACTCGATCTACCCTAAATATAAACCCGAACTAGCTAAGTCCTATAATAAGCGAAGTTGCTACGCTAGGCGAATCGAGAAGCTCTAGTACGTATCGCTACCGCGATAGTACGAGCCGCGACGCCTAGAGCTAGGCTAAGACCTTAGGTCTACCGACTATATCTAACGATAGATCTCTAGAACTAAAGGCTAGGATATTAGTCCTAACGGTAAGGCGCCTTACTAAGGAGGAAATCTAGCGATAGAGGGATACTCTAGCTCTACTAAATACCTAAGTTAGAGCGTATCGTAAAATCCTCCGTAACGATACCTTACTATCCTTTTTTACTACGCTACGTTTCCCTTTTATTACCGCTAACCGGTATCTCGACCCTTAGCTATAGGTCTTTCCTCCGATAGGAGAGACCTAATAAGTCTTTTAGAGAAATTACTTTTATAGATTCCTACGATATTATAGGCGTAGATATTTCGAGCGGAGTAATAGATTTAATAGGTACTTAGAGCAACCTAAGCGAGCGAAGCGAGTAAATAGTTATAGAAGGTGTCTAGTAAATCTAGCGTAGAGCTCGAGAACAAATTAGATTAGTGCTATATAACGTATAAAGGGAGGCTAAATTTAAAAGATGCGCCCGTAAAATAGAGCGCGCGATGTAATTAGTTAACAATTCGAATCGCAATTACGTATATCGAGCCTAAGGCTATTCCTTCTGCTTTACGTTACTAATAACTACAATAATAATAGCTATTGTTACAATATTGTACGAATCTAACTTTATTCTCGAGCTCTACGCCGTCGCTCCGCTCGAATAGGACAAGCACTATAGGGCTTAAACGATACTTTATAGGTCTACTAAATTATTCTTCTTCTCCCTCGCCCTTACTTTAGCTATTCTAGCGCCTTCTATTTCTTAAGCGCGCGATTAGGATAAGGTTTACGTATCTACGCGACCGTTATTATACGCGTAAAAGCTTTAACTATAGCGCCGAAGTAACATTTTAACTCTAGTTTTAAATAATAGTAATAATAATAATATATATAGTAATACTACGTATAATAATATATATATAGCGACGTAGCGTACAACTATAACTACGCCTACTACTAGTACTATTACCGCCGCCGGTATAGCTAACGAATCGAATCTTTATTAGTAGAACGAGGCGCTCTTCCGCCTAACGTTAGTATAAACTCGGATATAGCGAGTAGTAGCGATATTCGGCCTAGAAGATATACCTCCGCCTAGCGGAACCTCTAAGACGCCTCCGTCCGGCTAGATAATAATATCGCTATAGCGCGACGAAAACCCTAAAGCGATAGAAGTAGATAAAGAAAATAAGAATAATAAGAGGCAGCCTATTCCTAGAAACAAGAATAAGAACGCCGCGATAGATAGCGAAAATCCTAAAGATAGTTAGCCCGCTACTCTAGCTAATAGAGGAGAAGTAGTAGAGTAGCCTATATCTACCGATAGTAGAGAGTAAGGATAGGATAACGAAGAGGCTAACAAGGAGGCTAAGAAAGAGGCTTCCGACGGCGAAGGAAAGAGAGGATAAGGCTAAAAGGCTACTAAGAGACAGGCGCCTAAGATAAAGCGACCTACTATCGTACTACCTAAGCTAGGCGAAATCCTACGTATACCGTACCTAGACAAGGTGCTAAGGTTCTCCGATATACTCTCGTATATCGATAGAGCTAGCTATAAGCCGAACGCTGTCTTAGATATACCGAGTATACTAGTACGCTCTATTAACGGTATAATTCGGCGCGAATATAAGCTCCTATATAGGATTGTAACAAACGGTAGACTAGAAAAGTCTCTTATATCGTAGTTACCTATAGCTCCTATCTACGCGGAGCGATATATAGCTTTTAGTACTTCTCGAATCGAATATACTACTACGCCTTAGATTTATAAAACAATCGGCGCTCTTAGAAATCGCTTATATTATATCTTAGAGACTAGGTATAACGCCGACGCACTATACTACTACAATACCTACGATTAATAGGGTCGCGAACGCCTCGACCTCTATAAATAAAAGCTATATAATAGCTTACTAACTAAGGCTAGACGCTAGGTCTATTATAAGGAGTTAAGAGAAGAAGGCCTTAGAAACGAATTAGACTATAACGCCCTATAGGTAGAATTAGAGATAGAGGGTAAGCGCGCTATACGCCTCGCTAATATTAATAAGGCCTTAAAGGCTAAGTTCGACCGCTATAAGAAAAAGTTTAAGAAAAAGGACGATAAGGACTGCGATATATATAGTAACTACCTATAGGCGGATCTCGCCTCCTTTAAGGATAACTACGATTTCTACGCCGATAAGGAAAAGCCTACTAAAGTAAGGATAAAGGCTATCCTCGGCGCTCGTATAGTACTACGAGTCGACTAGTTTCTTACTATACTACCTAATAGACTAGCGGGGTACCTCGTATCGGTCTAGCTATTATATTTCGACCTTAAGATATATAAGATAGCGCTCGTCGACCTAGATACTATATACGGTTCCGAGAAATACGCTAATTAGTAGTACGCCCCCTTCCGACGAGTAGCCTAAAGCGATTTAGAAGAGTACTAGCGAGATCTACCCTCCTAGATAGATAAAAAAAGGCCGAAGCGGACTAAATAACCCTTACTATAGCGCTAATATACGCTTACTCGAGTAGGCGACCGCTAGTAATAAACTACTTTACGATATTAACGCTAATAGTTTCTTTACGAACAACTCTATTATATACGCCTCTAAAATTCCGGAAAACTTTAATATACCGGAATACGCTATTCTAAAGTACGAGCGCGAAAGTTTCGCTTACATAACGGCTTTTTATAAGATTTACGATAGCGAGATAACGCCTATCGCCGTCGCCTATAGCGCGCTAGTATATTAGAGTACCGAGGGAGCGTACTATCTTGTAAGCTACCTAGATATAGCAGATTCCTTCGCTAGATTAATAACCGATATATTCTACGCCTATTAGGAAGATCTAAGATAGCGAATCGTCGACGACCTTAAGTCTATACTCGAAATCTTCCTACGACCTATCTAGGGTATATAGTTTGCGAAAGTAGTAGGATACTCGCCGGCCGAGATTACGGAGAAGGACTAAGTACGAATAGTAGGTTCGTATAGGGTAGTTCGTATAGAGGGGAGAGAGAGAGCGAGAGTACTCGGTAGATAGGCGCCTCTTTAACCGATCCTAAGAAAGCTCTACGTTTACCGGCGTAATCTAGTCTTACGTAGTATCGATCTTGCAATTTCTCGACGTAGAAAGGCTATAGGTACTATATAGAGCGCCTAAAGTTAGGAGACTAGTAGGATAGCTACTAGATTCCTTAGGCGTTAAGTAGATTGCTCTATATAGGTCCTACCGGGAGTACTATCCTCTAGTCGCCGATTATTAAAGAGAGATGCCTATATAGCTAGAGGCTATTTAGAAAACTAGATCCTACTAGAGCTAGTAGTATTAGTAATAGCCGATTAGAGGTATTAGGTAAGGACGCCTATAACTCGCCTTTAAGCGTCTAAGATATTAGCTCGCTAAACGATAGTCCGGTATGTCTAGAGATAGTATCGTAGGCAGCGGATATAGAGGATTTTAATATAGAAGAAGATAAAGAAGCTATAATAGTGCCTACTATACCTAAAGGAAGGTAGATTGCGGTTAAATATATAGACTAAGCGCCGGTTAAGACTATATATTCTAGGAGGGCAATTTCGGTATTAAAGGCCTAGATTAGCGATATAGTACGTATACGCTAGCTCGGATAGTATATTCTTCGGCTTGATTTCCCGTACTCGGCGCTCTTAAAGAGCGATATTCGTTCGGGTAGTATCGCGTAATTCTAAAGACCTTTATTTCGAAACCCCCTAGTCCTAAGTATATCTCGAAGTAATATACGCGCTGCGTATACGTAGCTACCTGTTTGTTTATATACGTAATACGATCTAGAAGTAATATATTAACGCGATTGTTAATACGAACTTAGAGCGCGATACGGATATTAACCGTTATTCTATCGACCGCCGCCTTTTTATATACTTCGCGTAGTCTAGTACGACTATTTCCCCCTCGATTTCCTTTGCCGACACTATTATATTAGCGATTAGAACGCGCGCGATAGCAGACTAGGAGGACGTCGATTTTATAGCTATTTAGTAGTAGGAGCTAAACTTCGCCGCTAAGTCGCTCTATAACGAGAATAACGGCGTTAAGCCGGAGACTAGCCCTATCTTCGATCGCCTAAGGGAGAACTATAGAATAGGCCGGTAACCGGATATAGCGTACCGTAATAACCGCCGCTATAATATATATACTAACGAGATCGTAATAGCGGTTAATAGAAGGATAAACGCGAAACTAGATACTAAGTTTATAAGTATTAGCGCCGCGTATAGATATCGAAACTAGAGCTAATAGTAACTAGACGTACTAGTACGAAATAGTAGATAGCGGCGTAGTCGAGCTTACCTTTTAGCCGAAGGACGATAGCTCTCCCTACCCCTTCGATTGTTATAACTTCTTAGAGGCAGATAGTAAGATTCTAGCTCTAAAGAGATTCGTAAGTTAGCCTATCGGAAAGGATTGCCTATTTTTAATCTCGTACTAACCTCTATAGGCTCGGATAGGTATATTAGGGCGAGCTCTATTTCCGGACTATTACTATAGAAAACTACTTCCTCGCCGAATACCCCCTCCTACTTCTTATATACCCTATCCTCGACCCGCGGTCGCCTTCCTTCGAATTAGTAGGCAAGGTATAGCTATTCTATACCTTCGACTCGAGGTAGCTAAGCTATATCTCGACTAGCGGACCTAGTACTAATCTAACCCTACCTAGTAAATAGGCCCGCCTGTTCTATTTTCTAGTAGAAGGTACTCGATGCCTCTAATATAATATTGCGTTCCGCTCTATATAAGATAGGGAGAATAAGTATCGGCTCTAGATATTAGAGAAGGCGTAGAATAAGGCTAGCTTTAGATATACGGACTAGTAACCTAAGATATTATAGAAGTAGGGAGTTAGCGATATATACCTAAAGGCTATTAACGAGCTAGAGTTTAGAGGTAATTAACGGCCGTATCTAAAGATATTGCGATTCTAGTAGTATCTAAATCGGTAGAAATAAAATAAAAATAGTCCTATCTTTACTATCGCTTATATCTAACTATATATTTTACTCTCCTCTTCTATACTCGCTACTACCGCGAAAATTATACTAACCGCGTACGCTACTAATCCTCTATTTACTCTCTACTCTTTCGGCGTCGCGAAATGCTAGTAAGACGTATCGATCTACGCTATCCTAATAGCGAAAAGGGAGTCTCTTTCCTAAACCTTATCTACTTCTCGCGTCGTCTCTACTAGTCGTCTATTTACTATCTACGCTTTCGTTATCGCGAAATACTAGTAAGACGTATCGATCCGCGCTATCCTAACGGCGAAAAGGGAGTCTCTCTTCTAAACCTCGCCCGCTTTTTACGTCGTCTCTACTAATCCTCTATTTACTCTCTACCGATACTATATATACTCCTATAGCGAAGAAAGGCGAGGTCGGATAGGAGTAGCTTTCTAATACGTAACCGGAGCTAAGCGAGCGGGGACGCTTATAGCCGCTACGTAAATAGAGACCTCTAAGGTGGTACTTGGGTCATTGGTGGGCCAGCGATTCCCGCTCCGCCAATAACAATGTCAACTACATTATTTGGAGAAAATTCCTGGGCTCTCTTGAACGCGGCCACCTGTGAAGTCCAGTTCGTCACATCAGTCTGGACGAACAGGGTCCTGCAAGGCATCAGCTCTTCGGCACGGAATGCAAGATCTTTAGTTACTCACTTGCAGCCTGTGGCGTCCAGCTCCGAAGAGTACTTTTCGCCGGCCTCTTGATTGATATCAGCAATGACCACATAAGCGCCTGCTTCAGCCAGGGCTTTGACGGTCCCAGCGCCGATTCCACTTGCGCCTCCGGTGACTAGAGCCGTTCTCCCTCTCAGGGTCGAGATGTCGTACTGTTTGGTGAAGTCGACGGGTACGGATGCTTTCGCCATGATGTCTAACAGGCAGCAAGTCTGCGAGATTGCCTTGATCCGGCTCTTCAGTAGATATGAGGACCCGGGGTAACCGGACGACACGCGGGAGTTGCTTCTTCGTAGCGCCGCCCGGTCAGGTCCATCTGCTGACGCTGTATGATGACATCAATTCTCCGCATGCTTCTCTCCCTGACTACAGGTAAGCGCACTCCAACTTTGTGGAGGAGCTATTTGTGTCGCAGTCTTGATGCAGGAAGCCTCGGCGGCGGGCGCATCGTTCTCCGAATGTGGTGAGTAGACCTATCCAAGTGTGGAGCCTGGTTAACGGGTAAATACTCAAATGGGACACATTGGCATGGTAATTACACAAATGGGAAAACCCTTACTCGGATGGGACACATTGGCAGTGGAACTACTCGGATAGTAAATCATTGGCACAGTATTTACTACTATAGGAATCCGCTCTGCTCCACTACTATATCAATTTCTATATTCATAGAACAAGCGTATATGAATAGAAACATACTACGTAAAGGCAAACAGTATTAGGATTAGTAGTAGCAATTATATGCGGCCTGTTTAGCGTCTTCTATAACCTTCTACTTATCTATCTTAGGTATAGCGGCGGTCGTTGCTATTTAAAGCTATGTATCTATCTATGCTATGTCGAGTCGCATTTCTATATCCGTAGTAAGCGCCTACGAATACAGAAATGTAACTAATTCTATATCGTCAAACCCTGTGCCTGCCTTTACTATTATATTATAGTGAAACTCAATCGACTTACTGCCCTACAATCTTTTATTCTACTATTGTTAGTCGGTTAGTCGGTAAGGATAACTTTGGTTATATCTAGGCAGAATTCATATTGAATTATTGTCCGTAGGGTGACTTAGCTCGCCTAAGTAGAGCAACAATTTCTATATTCGTAGTAGCTGCTAGCAGATATAGAAATTCTAAAAACACTTTACTTAAGCAGCCTTACTTCGGTACAGCCCGGAGCTAATTACGAGTGCCTAATCTAAGCGCAAGCCCTACCCTAACTCTTACTCTTACTTAAACAATAGAACAATAGCTAGAAGGCTTTTACTACTATATATCTTTCTCTCGTTTCTATCTTCGTCCTCTTCTTCCTTCCTTCTACTAGATATCGTACCTACTCTCTTACCCTCGTCTATAATACTACCTCAAATATAAGAATTACGTTAACGGTATAGAAAGCAACAATAGGCGGCCCCTTCTTCTCCCCGACTAGTGCTAGTTACCCTTTCTTTAGCTAGGTATAATTGATTCCCTATTATTGTAAGTAGGAAAGCAATGTACTAATATGCCTTTAGAGCTCCGACGCCTATCGCCGCCGCACTAGCCGCCGCGCCGTCCTGTAAGTTTACTAGCAGCAACATTGGCGAGTCTAGAAGGTATCCTAATTGCTCTATTCTAGTCGTCGCGCTGCCGCGCATTTAGCTGCCGCCGCTACCGCTCGCCGCTCCGCTAATTCTGCTCGGTTCCGTGCTGCGCTCCTACTTCTACGTTAGCGCCGACAGCAGCAGTAGCAGTAGCAGCAGCAGCAGCAAGAAGAGTATAGTCTAAGCAGATTATTCGCAGAGCTTAGGTATGCTAACAGTTTACGCAGCGACTAAATAATAGTTAACGCTAGTAGTAACGACGAACTAGTCCTATAAGTTTATTATTCCTTATATCGATTGTCTAGCTTAGAGTTTAGCATTCTAACCTCGATCTATAGGTAGAACGACGACTATATCGTACCGCCTCCTAGCGGCGAGGACGCTCCTACGTATGTTTAATTAATTAACTATCTAAGCATTATTATAAACATAGAGCTAATATCTGTATATAGTATCGACGACGACGACGACGACGATAATAATAAGGCTGCGCCTATTATCTCTGCTGCTCCTCCGCCCGCTGCTACCCCTCCGCCTGCTACTACCGCTCTAACTTCCGCCCTATTCGTGCCGATTATCGCGCCTCGCGAGGCACTAATTTTCCCGGGCAAGACCCTAGCCGACCGCGCTAGCGCTAGCGCTAGCACTAGCACTAGCAAGAAACGCGGCCGTCTAGCGAAAGCTAGTAAGAATGTCGTAGTGCTTCGCTGCCTAACGGCGGTCGATTAATGGTAGTCGGTACCGGAGGGCAAGTAGCTTTATATATTGAAATTAGTATGTGTATTATACTCGTGCTAACAACGTCTTAGTAATAAAAGGCCGCTAGAAGATCTAGTCGCATGTCGGCCGCATTATAGAGATCGCCGGCCGTACTCGCCGCCGGCTATGTCTTGAGTGTGTTCGGTCGGGCGTTAAGTGCCGCGAGTACGCTACTAATACCTTCGGCAAGTATCGCAAGTGTGCCTATTGCATTTAGGCAAATAACCCTTGTACAGATCCGCCTTATTTGTCGTCGGATAGCGAGGATAATAATAATAAGGATAATGATAATAAGGATAATAATAATAAGGATAATAATAATAATAATAATTAAGCGCTAGGTTCTTTGTTTGTTTCTTTGCTCTTTAGTCTTAGGCTTAGGCTTAGGTAGCTAGCGTTCGGTTCTTTGCTTGTTTCTTGCTATCTTAGTCTAGCTAGTTGTAGGTTCTCGAGGCTGCCTCGTCGAAAGACGAGGTCGTAAGACCTTATAGCATATTATAGTAGCGCTGCTGCGCTGTTTTAAATAAAAGTTTATTTGTTTACTGTTTAGCGCTAGCCGCCGTTGCTGCCGATCCTCGTAACTCTATTCCTTTTACAATGCAATAGTATTTACGTCTTTTGCTACGGTCAGTTATTATACGCGGTGTTGTTGTATATCTAAGCTAGGCCCATTCGTTTGAATTTCTGTATTTAGTAAGCTATATACCCGCTAGTGCCCGCATCTCTTAACTAATGGCGAATTTCTGTATCCGTAGGACGGTGACGCTCGGCTTGTATTCCTAGACCCGTAGCTATTAATTCGATGCCGCTACCGCTTAGACTAGTAGTTGTTGTACTAGGTAGTTGTCTTAATCTCGGCGAACGGCTGCCCGTAATCTAGCTACTCGCTATCCGAGGTCAATGCCGACGATATGCGTAGGTATTTCTATATTTATAGTATACTCACTGCGGATACAGAAATTCCGCATACGTCGTTACTATTGCCTAAGCGATACTACGCTAGTAGCCCTTTAACTATTCCCTCCTCGAACTCCTATGCCTACGCTAGCTGTCTTCGCGATAGTCCGAATGTCGGTTCGCTAAAACCGCTCTTCTAGACATGCCTTATCGCTAAAGAGGGCAGTACCGCGGTATTCGTCGTTAGCAAGGAAGATATTTATCTCGGTAGCAAGCGCGAGTTGTATAGCCTGCCCTTCCTATTCCTTATATAGGAAGCTATAGGCGTCCTTTGCAATACATTGTCGCCGCTTAGTGCGTATAGTTTAGGTGTCGGTCGAGGGTAGCTATATAGGATATTGCTTATATACGCTAGTTATCCTAACACTAAGACGACCTGCAAACTTATAGATATTGCTATACACCTCCTCGACATTGCCTACCTTCGAGTGTATGTCCTATTCGTCTAGCTCGTATAATTTATATATATCGTCGGAGTTCGCGCGAAGAGGCCCTGCTATTATATCGGTAAATGCTCTTTAAAACAATAATGCTTCCTCGTCCTCGGTCGGCTCGATAGATTAGTAACTAGATTCTGCCTTGTGTTAGATATTCCGTACCTATATAACCGTACGGCCTACGTTAGGAAAACAACCGAGAACCGCAAGCTAGCTTAATACTATACTACTATTTAGGTTGACTTAGATCGAGATTAACCCTCTCCGGATCCTCTCTATATAGACTAGCAGAGCGACGTCTTTACATATTACATCGTTATATAGATACGAGAACTCTTCTATCGCAGTCTTCTTAACGATACGCGTACCGTATTTCTGTCCTTATACCGACTTTGCCTTCCCGGATATATAGGCTATAATGAAGTGCTCTAGCTATAATCTAATGCTTACGCTCGGTAAGTCGAGTCGCCGCTATACTAAGTTCGCTGCCTAGTCTGCTATCGTTTGATTATAGATTCGCTCTTCTTCCTCTTCCTCTTCTTAAGCCCGGCGTTCTTCTACGGAGGTTCGTTCTCCTACGGATGTTCGTTCTTTAGCGAGGCGGGCTTCTTTGCGGGCTTGTATTCTAGCCTCCGACTCGGCTATCCTTGTATCTGTATTAGCATCTTCTTGTAGCCTCTTAGCTAGTTCCTTCTCAATTAGTAGTTTATTAGCTTCGGCCTTCTGTTGCTACGTAACGCCTACTTTCTTCTCTACCTACGTTAGCCTAGTAAACTTATCCTCTATAGTAAAGCCGAGTCTCCGCTCGTTGTCCGTAATTGCTTTGCTAGCATCCTCGACTATATAATAACATCTCCGACTTCGAGGGGCTACTTAGATAGTAGTATTCTTTTATTGTTGCCGTGCTATTGCTACGCGAGTCGTAGCAGATGTCTTTATCCGTTTGGCTAGACTTCTACTAAATGTATCTGCCTTTCGCTTCTTCGTAGTATTCTACTAGCGGACCGTTAAGTATCTAGTTGGCTTCTTCCTAGTAGTAGCATAGAACTTGTCTATTATAGCGACCGACCTCTACTAGGCAGTAGCTATCTAGCTAACACCCGATCGTGCTGTACTAGACTCTACTATCTCCCGTGCTAACGTGGTCGCCGCTTGTTCGCTCTACCGACGGACTTTGTCGAATTGCTTACTAGCAGACTTGCGGGCCTTCGCAGCGGCCGCTTAGTTAAGCCTTTTCTAGCGTTTATTCGCTTTGGCCGTCGCTCTGTCTATATCGGCCTATATCGGAGGTATACCTTTGCTAATAGAGATACTAGATTCGGCTTACTAGAGGGCTTTAGCTATAAAGCGATCGCGGTACGCCTCTATCTCCCGAGCGGTTATAGCCTTGAACTGCTTTAGTACACGTCTCGTAAATATTGTATCGTCGTCTAAGAAGTACTCTTTATCCGCGCTAGTATCTTATCTAAGTTCCCTACGCGCCTAGCGGTTAGCATTGCTTGTATCAACTTCCTTTCGGTGCCGCTACACGTAGAATCCCACTCTGTTATATATAACAGATTGCTCGAAACTAGACAGCCGCGATATTTTATATCGGATACTGTCTCTGTCGCTCTTATTGCTGCTCGATAGTTTACCTACGCGATCGGTATCGTCGTCTTCTTCTTCTTTTTCTTCTTCATCGCTACTATCGCTGCTCTAGTCCGACTCGATAATATATAGCCTACCTTCGTAGTTAGTCTGCCGACGTTTAGGTTGTTTACCTTTCTGCTTCCGTTTACGTTTATCGACGATAGGATGCTCGTCGGTCCTTCGTCGTACGCAGGTCTTCTTTGTATAGCCTATACTATTAAGCCTATGCTCTTTGTAGATAGAACATGTCTTTAGAGCTCCGGCTTTCCTACTTTTAGACCTTGGCTTGCGCTTCTTGCGCTTACGAGCCTTCTTAGGTCGACCCTTAGTCTTTACGAGTAGTAGTAGTTTAGTAATGCCGTCGACTAAGATCTAGTCGTATGTTATCGGGTGCAAGGTGCCTGAGTAGCTTTTAATGTACGACGCCTAACTGTACGCTTTATCAATATAATCCTCTAGGTCGTTTGAGATTAAAGGCTCGTTCTTAAAGTAGCGGATAGCGATATACGTATATTCGTACGGCATCCGTATATCCTAGAATGCCCTATAGCTACATATTCGCAAGTTAAGATCTATAATATAAAACTCCTTCGATGCGCTACTCTTAATTACTACCTTGCTAGCTAACGTTAGTAAACAATTCTACCCGGCCCGCGATTTGTGTAGGTATCGCTACTGTTCTTCTTTGTAGTAGTCTGACTAGCGAATAGACCGGAAGACACGCCGCCGCCTTTCGTAATTTTCAACCATTAGTCTCTCCTACATTGTTTAATAACACTAGAACACAGGCAGTTCGCGTTCTACTAGGAATTTGTTGTTTATAGACTCAGAATTGTTCGAGGTTAAGTGGCTAAACCGAGGGTATTCGTCTAGTAGGGCGTAATATGTTGTCTATCGAGAGGTATTAATGCTTTCGAAGTATGGCTCTAGTTCTATACCCTCCCTAGCCCTACCCTTACGCTTCTCCTATAGTATTTCGTATAGCATTGCTAACTTCTTAGCCTTGAAAGGAATCTCCGTTGCAATAGTAGCGAGATAGCGGATAGCATTTGTAATCGTAGGGCCGAAATGCTCTTCGAAATTCTTAGCGAGATATTGTATATAGTAGTAGTAATGTACACGACGCCTACTATATACCTTAGTTACTACAGGAACTAAGCCTTTCTGCCGATCGCTAACTAGAGCCCGGTGTTCTATAGCAGATATTTCGCCTATTAGTAGCAGCTGTTCCTTAAGATACTTAAGAAACTAGGACTAGGATTCCTCTAACTCTAAACGTGTACAGCACTATGCTATAACATATACTTAATTCTTAGTATTAATACTAGCGATAATAAGGATAACGCCACTATATGTACCGGACATATAGCTACTATCGAGAGTAAGCAACCTGCGTAGATGTCGAAAACTACGTAGACGCGCGTATAGGAATATAGCAGATGCCTAATGCCGATCCTCGTAGTTAGTATGCAATGCGTAGAAAGCACTAGTATATACATTGTCTAACCCTTGTGTTTTGTCTAATGCGTTAAACAGTGGACCAATCTTCTACTACGACTCTTTCTCCGAGCTAACAAGTTTATCCAAATACCGTCTCTTTACCCGGTATACTTGTATATAGGTGATCTCATTTAGATACTAGTTCTGTTCGGCACGCCGGAGTTGATTTAGTGCGAGTCGCTAGTCGGTAGCGACGGCGTCGATATAGTATTCGAAGAGTACACCTACTCTATAGGCTCTCGGGTTGTAGTAGTATATTGCTAGAGAGCATTCGTATTCCTTAAGGACGAATACCTAGACCTCCTTTCTATCGTTACTATTCCTATTACGGCGGAGTAGGACTTTGAACATATATTGACTTTGCCTATCTATACCGATCGTTTAGTATTAGCGATTAGTTGGATAGACATACTCTTTGCGGTTTAGCTTAGATAATCTCGCAAATGAAGTCTAACCTTTCTCTATTATATACCGGTCGAATGCCTTAACTATAGTCTGTATATCCGGATAGCATTAGCCTTAGACAAGTTTAGGAGGAGCCGAGCCTATAAGTGTCGATAGTATAGGCATAGTCGGCTATATTATAGTGTATAAATGAAGTCGTCTAGCCGTATAGTTAATAGCTGTCGTATTTGTTGCGTTGTCGTAATAGTAACGAAGCGTATAGAGGACGCGACGTAGTTATTTAATACGTTTAACGTAGAATTAGGTAAGAATTGACCTAGGTCTTAGCGAGCCCGCTACTCTATCTCCTCCCTCGTGTTCGCATCTACTATACGACGACCCTAGCAATAATACAACTAACGACGCGTCGAAGGTCATATCGGCGGTATCTAGGTATACGATTACAACGCCGGAGCTACTGCTATAGGCCGAGCTTAGCGACTTCTATCTAGCACTACTATTAGCACTATTCTGCCTTAATGCGGTATTTCCGGACTAGATGCATGCTATAGACGCACTCTACCGAGACGTAATTAGCGTATAGGAACATAGGGAGGCATTTATTGTACTATACTAGACAGGTCTTATCCGGAGATTTGTATACAAATTGGACTCCGACTATACGATAAATATTATCCTCGTAAAGCAAGAAGACGGCGTCCGGGTCGTCCATTTTATAGATTACTCTTGTACGGCGGCAGTAGCGAGTCCTCGATGCCCTTAATTCGCACCTAGTGCGGTATACGCTAATATAATTTAGGTATATAATGCCTTTATTTATTAGGTTATGCTCCCGAAGGGGTAGGCGAACACGACGTCGACTTACGATACGGCACCGCGGAGTATTCTATTATATCTAAAGCTTAAATATAGCCGATCGAAGGACTATATATTTCGTATTATCATCCGGTATTAACACGAACACGAAGGGGGAGGTGCGAAAGTCCGATAGTTTACAAAGCATACATATAGAGTCTAAGGGTTATATAAGTAGGCGAGGCGTATTCGAATTTCTGTATTCTTAGAGAGTCGCTAAGAATACAGAAATTCAAAGCTCGACGTAATGCTTAGTATAGCCTTATACTTAGCATCGTTACGTTATATCCTATTATCGAAGCACTACGATACCGAGATACGACTATCGTACGGAGCGACACCGATACCCTCCCTCCTATCTTCGAATGCGAACTAACGCCGGCGGTCGTTCTCGTATTAATCACTTTTGCTAGCGCCGCTTTAACATTACACGCTTAATCGCATAATCTCCGCTATTACGACGAGAGCGTAGACGACACAACCGATTATTGTAGCAGCAAAGCAATATACGTCTAAGCGATCTAAGAGGGAGAGGGAGAGTATCGTACATTCGGTAGTGCCTATAAAGAGTAGCATATGTTTCGGCAAGAGTAGCATATATTTAGTAGTAAACTACGACCTGCAATCTATACTAGTAGACCTACGCGGCACAGAAAGCTAGGATATAGGATACCGGTAGCGAAGATAGTATATACTATAAATATAGAAAATTACAATTAGTCGAGGAACGCGGGAACTAGCGGGTATTACGCTTATAGAATATAGAAATTCAATCGACTAACCCTTAACCTTAACGACTAAGTATAGTACCGACCGGCGAACGATATAACTTCTCGATAGGCTCGTAATGTCGCTATTAAACACGGAATTTGTATATTAATAGAGCCGGACTACGGATATAGAAATTCAGCTTTCGACAGCCCTACTTTGTCGATAGGCAGGGGTTTAATATAGCATTCCTTCTAGTAGTCGGCACGATACGAACTCTTATTAAATAGCCTATATAAGGCATAGAAGGGCGCACGCCCCGAGTAGAGCCGGTTACTAGGGAGTAATTATTGTTATATACGGAGGTAAAGTCTATACTAATCAAGTACTACTATTATTAGCTAGGCGGACACAATCACTTCGGCACAACCCTAGTAACATATAGATCTAATAAACTGCAGGATACCTAACGAAGCTACCGAAGTGCAAATTCGTACCTACTCTTCTACCCGATCGTCTTCCGGCACGACCTTGCTTAGTAGCAGTATCTACTCTTCTACCTAAATGTCTACCGGCACGGCCTTGCTTAGTAGCAGCATCTACTCTTCTACCCAAACGTCTACTCTTCCGGTACGGCCTAGCTAAGCAGCAGTATCTACCTTTCTACCTACTTCTCCTTAGTTTGGTTCTTATAACACCTTTACTCTTAACTTTTAGACTCAACTAAGCAGCGTAAACCCTCGCTCGCTACTAATACTTGTCTGTACATCGAAGACACTGTATTCTTTTACAGCAATAGAAGCTACTACAACCGCTACCCGACCTCGTATACGCCGATAATAGAGATTATCGACCTTACTTCTAATATAGAAGACGAATTACTATCGAAAGTTCTTAATGCCTTTAATAGTAATAGCTCGGAAGTGCGTAGATACACGTTAACTACAGACGGCGCAGCTTTAGCTTTAGCTTAACTCTATAGACGGGTTAGGTCTATGTTCTACCGCCGCGGCAACGACAAGCAAACAAATACATACACGCACAAATGAACGGGCTAGAACGCTGCTATACTATAAGACCTACTATCGCTCGAGGCCGAGCGTAAGGAAAGGGAAGCGCGTTAAGTCCCTAAAACACTAGCGGCTATTAAGAGGGTTCAAAAGATACGTGAAATCTATGCTAAGATAGCCGAGAAGTTAACAAAGGCTTAAGAATACTAGAAGGCCTACTATAACAAGCACTATACGCAGGCTTAAGAATACTAGAAGGCCTACTATAACAAGCACTATACGCTAATAACCTTTAAACAAGGTAACATAGTTATGCTTAGCACTAAGAACCTCCGTATCCGCAAACACCTATTACCTAATAGCAAAACAAGGCCTAAGCTCGCACTAAGATACATTAGCCTATTCCGCATCCGAGAACCGAAGGGCATACAGGCCTATTAGTTATAGCTTCTACCCTATTACACTATCTATAATACCTTCTATGTATCCCTCCTTAAGCTATACTATTAACGCGAAGGCGATGAAGCGCCTACTAAGTTAGAAGAAGTCTTAGCTAATAGTAAAGAACTATAGTCTATAGAACGTATCCTATAGCACCGGACTAGGAAAGGCAAGAAGGAGTACCTCCTAAGATAGCAAGGCTATTTACCAGAATAGGACTTATAGGTAGGAACAATACCACCCCCGGGGTGCTATTAGCTGACTAATCAGAAACAAGCAATTGTCAGCAACAAAGGACAATAAGACTACACTACTATAGTAAACGCGCACCGAGTGCTAACTAGCGCGCTATAGCGCACCAACCAATCGTATACTCTTTTACGGAATCTACCTCTTTACTAATGCGCCCTATAAGGCCTTCTCCTAGCACTCGGGTCCTCCTCTTGTTCCTTTATTCTGTCGAGGCCTCGAGGCCTAGGTAATCGGCGCGGCCGGCGCGGCTATATTAGTAACGGTGTTGCGGAGTATATTGCTGTTTAAGAAAGGAAGGATATAGCTATATTAGTAACGGTGTTGCCGAGTTATTGTTAGTTAAAGAAGGAAATTAGAAGAAGGTAAAGTTAGCGCTAAGACGACTAGCGCCGCTATTGTCGACATTACCTACTCGCTACTATTGCTAACCTCACCTGTACTACGAGCCTAAGGCACTACACTAACTAAGTTAAAAGATTGAACCTATTAAAGGTTTAATTAAAACTTTAAGGCTAAGTCAAAACTTTGAGCCGCCTAAAGATTAAGCGACTAATAGACTAACTAAAGGTAAAAACTATAGAGCTAAGCTAGCCGGGGTCGATCTTGCGGACAATAGGTTACTCCTCGATCTATCTAACCCTTTAAGCGAGGCGAACCTCTACTACTATACTTATAATAGCCTTTACCTATAGAAACTAGACGAGCTGTGTTTTTTTAAAAAGATATAATTAGTTGACACTTGAAGGCTGCTAAACCTAACCAATTGGGGCTAGTGAAACTACGAACAGTAATAGTCCTCGTAATAACAAGAACAACCCTCGGAACGGACAAACCCTCGGAACGGACATTGCTAGGTCTTTTAGGAGTAGACGCAAAGAACTCGGTACGACATTACTTAGAACGGAGGCAGGGCTGCAATACCTCGTACGTCTACCTATTGCAGTAGGGAAGACGCGCTCGTGTTATAATTAGTCGATAGCCCTTAATTCCTATAGCTTTATATCCCTTTACTTTATTGTATATAAGGATAGCGCAGTTAGAGTTGGACATTATATTAGAAGGTGAGGTTTAATATAGTTACATAATTAGGTGGTTGAGTGTTTAATTTAGCGCGGGCTAAGCGGCTTATTAGACCTACTAAGTTAGTAGCAATAGAGGTTGAGATTGGAACAAAGACCGGCTACGAAGGCGCGGCCTTTAGAAGGGAAGCGTATATTAGGACCAAAGAGGTTACACGTGATTAGCATATAACTAGACTATTACCCTATCTACCTGCTAACATAACCCTTCTTATATAGAACTTGTCCCAATCGATTTCCTACGGTTTCTAAACGGAAATAGCACATTCCTATCTAAGTAATTACTGTGCCAATGTTTACTATCTAAGTAATTTCTATACCAATGTGTGTGCCAATGTCCCGAAATTTTCCCATTTGCGAAATGCCAGCCAATGTTGCTAATCCAGTCCCATTTATGTAATTACCATGCCAATGTGTCCCATTTGAGTATTTACCCGCCTGGTTAAGCTCGACTCGGCTGCAGACGAATGTCGGCAGAGGTCTCGGCCAAAAGTCGAAGCAACCATGACCCTGCGTAACCACTAGACGCGTCGCGTCTTCCGTCAACAGGACTCTCACATGCAACACTGGACCACCAAGTGAATGTAACTCTGACTGGACCACATAGCTCAAAATGCCGCCCAAAGGCTCTCGGCTCTTGAAGGAGCTTCGACACATGCCTGTTGTCGGACGTAGTGTGTTCGAGAACCCAGACATCGCGTCGTCGCAGGCCTCCATGTCCAACACACAGGACAACACGCAGGCGAGCCAAGCGACTCTACACATGCCACCAGCGAGGAAACGACGGAAGGTGAAGAGCATCCCGCCGACTGTGCTCGATCAATGCACCATCTGCTTGGAAGAGCAGCTCTATTCCAACGCCTACGCTCTCCTGTCGAGCAGCCTGACTTCAGGTCCAGATGTCGAGGCACCCGCATGCGTTCCGCCAGTACAGCACTTGGCGCTTGCGTCAACACTCGCCATCCATCCATCGTTCACGAGCCGAACAGAATCGGTCGACAAACATGCAGCTGCTGAGGCAGCAATGGGCTATCTTCGAACCCTAGCCGAAACCACCATTATCGAGGAAAGTGGACTGAAGGAGGGGCTGAGATTTGGAGTTGCTTCTCGTAAGACAGAGCGGACCAGAAGAGCTAGTACACGACAGGGAAATGCGAATGGTACAAGTGAAGAGGAGGACAACGCTCAAATCCGCAGCCAGTACGCAGACAAGCAGTCCTTGGCAGAGAATGCTGAAGATTTCTGGGCCGTAGTGGGCTGGGCCTTCAACTGCAGCGTGAAATACAAGACACGATGGACAAGATGGCGGTCGTGGCTTGACCTGGTTCTCGATGTTATTGAAGCAGATCTTGATGCCTGCGCGCCCGAACAAACAAAGCGGCCCAAAGGTACTGATTTATCAAGCACATTGATTGCGCAGTATCTTTCCTCAGTCGGAGCGGGCAGGCAGAACAACCGCCGAGTCATGCGAGCCATTACAGCAGATGGCAGTACGCAGAGTCTGGCACAATTCCCAGAGATATGGAAGAATGAGACAAGACCGCCGAAGAAGAAACAGGATGAACGCCTTTCGAACAAACGCAAACTGGATCTGGACAACGAGGAATATGGGGACTACTTTGACGATGAATCAGGCGAGGACAGTCCCGAGAGTAGATCCAGAGCATCGAGATCCGGAACGACTGCTTCCAAGAGGAGTCGTCGCAGCGGAGCATCATCGCATGAAAATGCTGCGCATGAAGAAGAAGATTCGGACGAAACTCCTGAAGCGGCCTTTGCAAGCACGGGCGTTGAGAGCTTTGGCGGAACAGACTCAATACGGATCAGGCAGAGGTTTCTCAGCCTGTTGACCAGGTTCAGTCTTGCTGCACCTGCACTTTTCGTCGACACTGAGGAGCTGTTCGCACTCTTCACCGAGTTTGTGAGACCTTTACCTCTCGCCATCTTTCAGCAATTCGTCCTTCCAATGAAGCCATACTTGAACTCCGACCTGCATGCTTCCTTCAATGAAATGCTCTTCAGACCATTGACTGGCTCGAGCAGCTGTCGGGGTCTTATCGATCAGCGGGAGTTTGAAGCTTCATTCGCCCATCGCGCTGCCACGAATACATCCATCATCGACAACGCCAAGGTCAGTCTGCTTACAGAAAGCTTGCTACGCGCGCTGTGGCAGTCACACTGTCTCGACAACAACCTGTCTGGGCTTAAGACTCAGATTGAGAAAGGCGTCCACGCACGGAATCAAAAGATTGGCGGCGATGGTCGGAGGAAAGCTGGAAAGAAGGCTGGAGCTGATGACGAGGGAAGAATGGTCCTGCAAAGCTCGGCGGATCGCATGAGCGTTTTATTGACAGTACTTGCAGGCTGATGTTGTCCGTAATAATAATAAGTTATGAGCGTGGAGAGCGCGGGTTGACAATCGGCAAACGCACCTTCCCCACGACTTTTCTTGCCAAGGATGCTCCTGCCCACTCTGGTGACGACGCGCGAGCAACCTGCTGACTTCACTTGTTCCACGTCCAAGAAACCTTATGACATGTGATCGTGCCAAACTGCTCGTTAGCATTCATTGGCGCTTTTGCATTTCTATCACCAGCACCATACCAGCGACAGACCTACCAGAAACCCAGCAGAATGACATTCCAAGCCAACATCAAAGCGATAGCACAGCATAATGCACGTACCCTTCGAACCGCTCCGCTGGCGGAGCTGTCTGGTGCCCTGGGCGATCTGGGGACCCTATTACCCTTGATGATTGCAATGACTCTCAAGGGCTCCATCAACCTTGGAAGCACCCTTGTCTTCTCTGGACTGGCCAATCTTCTCACCGGAATCTTCTTCGGGATACCCTTACCCGTGCAACCCATGAAAGCCATCGCAGCTGTGGCGATCAGCCAAAATTTCGACCAGCAGGAAACCGCAGCTGCGGGACTAACGATGGGAATTGCCGTATTCGTGCTGAGTGCCACCGGTCTGCTACAGTGGCTACATCGCGTTGTGCCAGTCAGCGTGGTCAAAGGCATTCAAGTCGGTGCGGGTCTCAGTCTTGTCATCAGCGCGGGCTCAAGCCTGATTAAACCGCTTGACTGGACCTCTCCAGCCTGGGATAACCGAATCTGGGCGATAGCAGCATTCCTCTCCTTGGTCGGCGCCAGTCTCTATCGTCGGATCCCCTACGCTTTGATCGTCTTCGCCATTGGGCTCGTGATCGCCGCGGCAATTCCGGGCTCGAAGCACTTCTCAGCAGGCACATGGCATCCATCCTTCCTCATCCCGTCTGGAAAAGCTTGGAAAACCGGCGCCATCGATGCGGCCGTACCTCAACTCCCACTTACAACACTCAACAGCGTCTTAGCCGTGGCTTCCCTCGCCGGCAGCCTCTTTCCCACCTTTCCACCAACACCCAGCACAACGTCCATCGGCTTCTCCGTCGCGATCGCGAATCTCATTGGATGCTGGTTCGGAGCGATGCCGGTCTGTCACGGCTCGGGCGGTCTAGCGGGACAATATCGATTCGGAGCACGCAGTGGCTCCAGCATTATCCTTCTCGGCACCGTGAAACTCCTTCTCGGCATATTCGTCGGCGAAGCCATCATTCCACTCCTCCAACGCTTCCCTCACGGTCTCCTTGGGATTATGGTTTTGGCTGCTGGCGTGGAGCTCGGCAAGGTTGGTCGGAGTGTAGGGGAATCCCGCGACCTTTGGGAACAGGCGGAAGAAGAGAATGAGGAGGGTCGGTCTGTGATGAGGAAGATTGGCGAGCATACCGAGCAGGAACGCAGTGACAGGTGGATGGTTATGCTGATTACTGTCGCTGGCTGCTTGGCTTTCAAGAATGACGCTGTAGGTTTCATTGCAGGACTCGTGTGGCATTGGGGGCTGAGGGTGCCGTCAATGGTTGAGAGGTTTCGTTTTCGCCGCTCTGTACAGCTCCGGGATGATGATACGAGAGAAGAGGATATCGGATTGCTGAGGTGAGAAGGGCGGGGTGATTTATGTTTTTTTTTTTGAAAAGACCTTAGGGGATCTACAAAAATTCACTAGCCTTTTCTTATTTTTTTTTCGACTTATATCCCAAAGTTGCTGCTGTTTCTCACTTGGTGTTACAGGTTGTCGAGTGAAGTGACGTATATAGAAACGAGCTCGATGGAGATGCGCGCAAACATCAAACCTTTCGGATCGACCTTACCTTTTCTCTTATCTATCAAACCGACGACTCTACATCGAAAAGATCTTTTTCATCCCTCAATCGGTCGTACTGGCCGCAAAAGGACTCCTCTTCCTCAGATCCTCCCCAAAAAACCAAAGCACACTCGCGCCCGACAGTCCCACAACAAGCGCCGCAAAGCCCAAAACCGAATTCCCCCAGCCCCAGCCCAGCGAATCATACATGGCCGGCGCAAACAAGGGGAATCCAAAGCCCGTCAAACTCCTCGCCACAGCCGTCGAACCCACCGCCGAAGCGGCGTAGACGGTATAACAATCAATCGTGAAATTCTGCAGCGCGGCAATCGCGCCCACGGTGCCCAGACCGAAAATCAAAGCGCCGAGGTTCGGCACGATCCAATGCGTATGTTCCTCTGCGGACCAGCCGTACATGAAGAGGCCACCAGAGACGAAGATGGTTGCGGGGAAGATGATGGGGATGCGGAATTCCGGACGACCTTTTTGGGTGGGGGAGCGAGCGGAAAGGGTCTTGTAGATGCGGTCGAGAATGTGGCCTGTGATTTGGGCGCCGGCGGTCATGCCGATCATGAGGGAGAGGTAGTTGAGGCCTCCGATGCCGATGGATTCGTTGTAGTATTCCGGGCTTGTCCAGAGGGTTGGGAAGGTGGAGAGCATGAGGTAGATGATGCCGTTGAGGAGGGAGATGTAGGCGGCGAGGAACATGACGATTGGTTGGGTGAAGAGGAGGATGACGGGTCGGGTCAGAGCGTTTGTCCAGATTTTCTTCCAATGGCGATCTTCCAGCTCGTATGGAGTGCGTAAATTCTGGTTGCCGGTTTCTTTGCGAAGCGTGTCGGCTTTCCGTTGGAGGATTCTCGGCGCGTACGTCTCGTGGAGGGTGAATGCGATCAGGATTTGGACGCAGACGCCGAAGATGGTGACGGACCAGAAGGACCATCTCCACGTGGTCCTTTCGGTGATCCATGCTCCGATGAGGGGTCCGAGGGCAGGACTGATGATGGGGGCGACGGTGTAGAGTGCCGTGGCCATGCCTCGTTCTTCATTCCTCCACAGGTCGGACAAAACACCTCCGCCGATGGTCTGGGGAGCGCATGCGCCCAGTCCTCCCAGGAAGCGGAATGCAAGCATTTGGCGTTGATTCTGGGCGAAGCCGCACACGAGGTTGAAGATCAGAAACCAGACGTTTGCCAGCTGGAGGACAATGACACGACCGAATAGCTCGCTGCAGGGAGCGATGAAGAAGGGACCGACGGCGAAGGCGAGGAGGAAGATGGAGAAGATCAACGACAGGGTGAATTGCGAGTCGATGTGGAGGTCTCGAGCGATGGCGTCTTCGGATGGAGCGATCATGGACGAGGCAATCGGCGTCATGAAGGTGACCAGAGAGACGAGGCCAGTGGCCAGCCATCTCCGCTTGAAGGACCAGTTCTTGGGGTTTGCTTGATCGTTCGGTCCGTCCCAAGTGACCTGCGAGCACAATGAGATGTTGTCGTCATTATCATCAAAAAATCATCACTGGGGACTGACAATGTTCGGATCTTGCTCGGGAGCTTCTGCTTCGGTCTTGCCACGTTCGACATCAACACCATCGCTGGACAGGCTCGGATGTAAGGCCGGGCGTCGCACGTTCTCCTCGTCGTCGGACTTGGTCTCGTGCAAGGAAGAGTCTGCATTGGTACTCATCGTCGTCCGGGCACTTCGGTGGCTGTTTGGGTGGTGCAACGAACAGGTCGCGCCGAGCAAATCTTTTATTCATGTTGCTGGCGAGCGATACAGGACGCTTGCTCGGTGTTTACTTGCCGCTTGGTGTTACGTCAAGTTGCTCGGTGATATCGAAGGCCTCCTTGCGTCAGTGCGCTGTGTTGACGAATCATGCGAGGCCCGGAGAAGAATGCATCGGCACGCAGTCCCGATGTCCGGAGACGCGCACTGCCGCCATGCCGATCTCGCCACTACAAAGCAACCGACTGAGGAGTTGTGGCCTCAGGCATCGAGGGTCGTCCCGGCTTGGCAGGGCAGGGCAGGGCAGGGATCCTTGTTTTCCGCTTCCCCATAGAACTTCTTCACCTCTTCCACCCCGCCATATCATGCTGAAAGGTGTCGAAATCGGTCACGTATAGACGATACCCCATACCCAAATCTTTGACATCAATCTTTCTTCTACTTGGAGACATTCTCTCTTCGCAGAGACGTACTGTAAATGAAAAGGTATCATATCCAACGACACAATAGCGTAGCCGAACGCTCATCCCAGCTTGGAGAATAATGCACATCCATCTTCGCTCTCCGCCCACCCACTACTCATCACCGAAAGGCGTGACGTACAATTTCTCCAACGGTCTCTTCCTTCGCAAAGGCTTTCCCCGGCGATGAATATCCAATCAACGCTTCTCTCCCCCCCCCCTCTCTCTCTCAAGACCACCATGCCTGTCTGCCAATTTGCCGTTCCCCAAGTTCTCATTCCAGAATACATTGTGTAACCAAGAACACCAACAGCGCCCAACTAACCCAGGAGCCAATCCAGTCGAGAGCACCAAATCGGGTATACAAAGAAGACAATAATCGACAATCAATTCCGTCACCCGTTCCTGGTAGGGCTGAAGTCGCAAAGTGCATTCGCCTCCTTGCGAGTGTGACTGGCCGGTAATCAACTCGAATTCGCGCGAATGAGGAGATCCTGCACAATCATCATGTCAGCCTCGTTCTCGCTGACGAGATGGTGCATACATGTACTCACCCGCGCAAGAGGGTCTTCATGATCGGCAGTCACTATTGCCGGACTTTCCAGGCCCCTTGGTCCATTCTCCGTGTACCCTCGGTCAGCCAGGCCAGGCCTCTTGGGCGTCAGTAATCTGTTGTGATCTGGACTACTATCAGAATTTGCTGTCTCATCGGTCAAGAGGCCGCGGCCATCGGATTTCCTTTCGAGCAACGCACCGCCGAGAGTTGCACATTTCAGGATGGTCTGAATGAGCTGGTTGGGTTTCAAAGGCTTGGAGAGGTATTCGTCCATTTGCGCCTGGATGCACTTTTCGCGGTCACCAAGCATAGCATGTGCCGTGAGCGCGATGATCGGAGACCTTGCCAGCTCGTGTTGCTGTTCGTACTCCCTGATCTTGGCAGTGGCTTCGAATCCTCCCATGATGGGCATTTGCACGTCCATCAGCACGACATCGAATCGCTTCTTCTTGATCGCTTCGAATGCTTCGAGACCGTTGTTGGCCACGGTGACCTTGTGATTGTGTTTGGTCAGTATCTTGACAGCCAGTTTCTGGTTAACTGCGTTGTCCTCTGCCAGAAGTATGTCAAAGGTCCTTGAATGGTCAGCTGATATGGGAGCAGCGCGTCCTTCCAACGCTGGAATCAGGGCGTTGCCAAGATCAATGGGTAAGCATGGTGTGGTCATGTAGCTCGAGATCCCGTTCTCCAGCGCAGTCTTGAAGTTGACCGATATCGCAGGCGCCAGCATGACAATCGGAATGTACTTGAACCGCTCCAGGCTACGAAGTTTCTGCGCCGTTTCGCTGTTGTCAACAATCACACAATCGTACTGGTCGTCTGGGTTGAGCTCGGACGGTGGGGTTCTGCCATTGCCGACAACGCAAGGCACGAGATCGAGTGCCTTGATGCTGTTTGCGATCTGGTCGGAATTGTCCACGAAGCCATTGTCCACGAAAAGCACATTGTGCTTTCGGTATTGCTGAAGCTGTGGCATGACCCTGAGCACGTCGGGATTGCCCAAGCGCACTATGCAGGTGAAGAAAAAGGTGCTGCCAGAGCCATACGTTGACTCCACCCACATCTTGCCGCGCATCAATGTAACCAGTCTCCTTGAAATGGACAATCCGAGACCTGTGCCGCCGAACTTTCGTGTTGTCGATCCATCGGCTTGTTGGAAGGTGTCGAAGATCAGATCGAGCTTGTTGGAGTGGATGCCAATGCCGGTATCAGACACCGCGAACTTGACGACAACCTCACCCTCGCCGCATTGCACCGTCTCATCCGAAAAGATCTTGACACGCACTTCTCCATGCTCCGTGAATTTGATAGCATTGCCTGCGAGATTGAGGATGATCTGCCGTAATCGGAAAGAATCACCAACAATGTAATCCGGTACTGAAGAGTCCGTATCGTAAATCAGACTGATGTCCTTCTCGTTGGCACGCACTGCCAGCGACTTGAGGCTGTTAAACACAAGGCTGCGCAGGGAGAATGGCTCTTCTTCCAGAATCATGCGGTTCGCTTCAATCTTTGAGATATCCAGGATATCATCGATGATTGTAAGGAGACTGTTCGCCAGGGAGAAGACAATATTCAGCATGTCGCGCTGGTTCTGTTCAAGCTCCGTGTCGAGCGTAAGTTGCGTCATTCCGATGATGCCGTTCATTGGTGTCCGGATCTCGTGCGACATGTTTGCCAGGAATTCAGACTTCGTCTTGTTTGCCAACTCGGCGGCCTCTCGTGCTTGATTGTTCTTCTGGATACTCTCGCGCAAGTTGAGAACCATCTTGTTGATCTTGTTCTTCAATTCGTTCATCTCGCCAGATGCCTCGACGTTGATCATCTTCGTGAAGTCTCCCTTCATGGCTGCATGGGTGATGTCGGCGAAAGCACGCACTTGAGACGTCAAGTTCTGAGCCATTATGTTCACATCCGTCGTGATCTCTTTCCAGCGTCCGGTAATGCCTTCGACTTCAGCTTGGCCGCCCATTTTGCCGTCCACGCCTACGTCGCGTGCGACGCGCTTCACGGCGAGCGACCACGCATCGAGTCGCGTAACCATGTCATTTATGGTATCTTTCAGCGTTTGGATTTCACCCTGAGCATGGACCGTAATCCTTTGACTCATGTCTCCTCGCGCAATGGCTTGCGTCACGTCTGAGATACTTCGTACTTGACTCGTCAAGTTGTTAGCCATGGTGTTGACGTTATTGGTCAGATCTTTCCATTTGCCCTCGACGTTCTGAACCTTGGCTTGGCCGCCCAGCACTCCCTTGTTGCCGACTTCCCTTGCGACTCTGCTCACTTCAAAAGCAAACGTGCTAAGCCTGTCCACCATGGAGTTGATTGTGTTCTTCAAGGCTAGAATTTCGCCTTGTACTTCGGCTTCGACTTTCTTGCTTAGGTCACCTCGTGCTACGGCGGTCGTCACTTCTGCGATTTCTCGTACTTGTGTGGTAAGATTCATGGCCATGCCGTTCACATTTTCGGTAAGATCCTTCCACGTGCCTTCAACGCCATGCACCTGTGCTTGACCTCCCAGCTTGCCCTCGGTTCCGACTTCTCGTGCCAAGTTGGTGACTTCGCTGGAGAATTGTCGAAGCTGACCCACCATGGAGTTGATGGTGGTCTTCAGTGCCAAGATTTCGCCCTTGCACTGCGCTTTCACTTCTTGTGTGAGGTCGCCTCGGGCCACGGCGGTTGTGACCTGCGCAATGTCGCGCACCTGCGAGGTCAGGTTGTTCGCCATGGCGTTGACGTTGACAGTCAGGTCGTTCCACATGCCCTGTACGCCTTCGATCTGTGCTTGTCCACCGAGGATACCTTCTGTGCCCACATCGCGAGCCACGCGCGTGACTTCCGTAGCGAAGGTTCGTAATTGACCCACCATCTCATTTATAGTTTGCTGAAGTTGAAGAATCTCCCCTTTGGCGGGTCGTTGAATCTTGCGGCTGAGATCACCTTGTGCGACCGCAGTGGTGACAACTGCAATCTCGCGTACTTGATCGGTCAAATTTTGGGCCATAACATTGACTGCGAGACGTTAGCGATTTATCGTTAGAATACATCACTACTCCACACTGACCATTTTGCGTTAGCTCGGCCCAGATGCCGTCCACTCCTGGGACAACAGCCTGGCCGCCGAGACGTCCTTCCGTGCCTACTTGCTTCGCCAGATGCGTGACCTGGCTGGCAAAGTCCTGCAACTGGTCCACCATTGTGTTGATGGTTTCCTTAAATCTAGCAATCTCCGGGTCCTTTTCGGTTGCATGGATGAGCACCTTCTTGCTGAGATCTCCCTTCGCGACAGCAGTGATAATGGTGCCAATCTCTCGGAGGACCTTTTGGTAGGTTTGGTTGATCTGGGCGTTCTTCTCAATCTCGCGCTTGAGCTGCTCTATTGACTGAGAGTTGCCCAGGGTATTCAGCGCGGCTTGCGTAGCATTGCGTTGATCGTGCAGTTGCTGCTTTATGCCGTCGATGAAGTCTTTTTGGGTTCGAATTTCTTGGGCTTGCTGGTCGATGTGATCTCGGAGGACGTTGAATTGCTCTTCGGTAAGCTGTCGTGGGGCTGCCTCGCCCTCGTGCTTGGCGAGGAGGCTGTTCACCCATGATGCTGAGCGTTGCCGCGGATTCAGGGCAGCAACTTTGGGTGAGGATGGATTGTCGGCGGGAAAGGCTAAGGAGAGAGGCTCGTTGGGGGTTATAGGGAGCGAGCTAGGTCCGCCAGCCACTCGTGCCTCGAGAATCTGTATCCGTGTCGCAAGGCCTGTCAACTCGCGCTCGAGGGTGCGCTTCTCGACAGTATCCTCGCCAGGCAGGGTGATTTGATTACTCTTGATGCCATTCGCTATAGCGGAAGCGGGAAATGAGTCGGTCTCAAAGGGCGTATACTGCTTGGCAAAGTTGGACAGTATGCTGGCGACGGCGGCGGATGTTTCTTCGTGCGGCATCTTGGTGGAGGCGGTGCGGGAGTGAAGAAGACTAGGCGTACATGGCAGCTTGCAGTGCTGCGCCTGGGTGGGTGAAGGGTGTGGGCGCTTCGTCGTGACGAGTGCTGGCGCGTTGACCGATCACGAGCTTGTGCAGCCCGCTCGATCTCAGCCTGTGAAGGAGGGCGGGTGCGGCATGTACCAGGCAGGTCCTAGGGACTATAGATGTGTGGTGGATGGTGCGTCGTCGGGCGGAATGGTAGTCGTCGTCGGCGGTGTCGCTGTCCGGGCCGATGGGGCGGTGCAGTGAATGAGGGAGATAGAATGGCGCGTCGGTGTAGGACTAGAACTGGGCCTGGCAAGAGTAGTATAGAGCAGAGCAGCAGACGCAGACGCACAGCTAGCACAGCACAGTGGGCTTGCGAATGCTACGGGGCGACCCTTCTCTCTCGCACTGCCCTGCCCTGCCCTTCCACCGAGATCCCTGCCGCCTCCCAGGATACCGGCTGGAGTCGAGTCCACAGCGCGCGCAACTCGGCCGCTGCGAATTTTGGTGCTCCACGCGTTGCAGCAGACAGGATCAAAGACCGCAATGTTCATCAGACAACAAGAAGGGGTCATTCCAACGCCCGCAAGAAGGTTCGGCCTACTGGGCTCTAAGCTAAAAACACTCGTGGCGTCCCATCATCAGACGAGACCCTTTGTCGGACGTGATGACTGTTCATTATTTGCCTTTCGGCCCAAGCCCAAACACGGCTCCTTCGCACAGCAGTATCAACGCCGCCGACTTTGTGACGGAGCGTGGTGCACGGCAGCATCGCACGAACCGCTGCCATCTCCACCATCCCCTCGCTTCCGTTTCTCTGCACGTGACCTTTCACCTCGCTTTGAGGACGAGGCGGCACATGGCCTTATGTACGTCTGTGCGACCTGCGTCAGAGCCAAGCGGTCAAGCGGTACGGGTATGATGATGTGCCTCATTTCACGCGCGCGCCATGTGATACAACCAATGAACACTTCCTCCTATTATTATGCCATCCACCTCCCGTTGCAGCTGCAGTAGATACACATCTCTCATTTCTTCGAAACACGAGTACAGGAACTGCCTCCCCCACCCCACATCCAATCACATCAATTCAGGGACACAACGTTATTTGGCTCCATGCAAGTCGACGTCATCCGGCCTGTGCGCCGGCTGTATAAATCGCGGCCTGAACCCTATACCTCCAACCAGGCGTATCCTGGATCATATCAGCGAGGCGTTTAACATGCGACGACGACGATGATGATCGATGTATGCTGAGCTATAGATCTTGAAATTTGCTCTTCCAGCTTCCAGCTAGCAAACAACAATACCAATGCCACTTCAAAAGGGCTCTCAGCTACTACCCACAGAAGCCCCGGCACTGCCAAGCCAACTCCGACAGCCATCTCTTGCAATGCCCTGTCTCAACCTCTGGCATGCCTGAACACCACAAGCCTGCCAGTGACGTCTACATACAACTCGACGTCAACATTCTCTCCTGACAGCAAGCAACGTCGGCCGGCCCTCCTAGACTCGCTGCTGCTCAAATGTCCGCGAACTCTCCTCGTATATAGAGATCTTACGTATGTACACATGGGCCCGAAAATTTACCGTCGAACTTGCATTGGGCTTGTGAGGCAATGCCGTATCCCTCGAGACTAAACCGAGCCCCAGCTACCCGCCCGAGCCCTAGCATAACCCGGTGCTAGCACTATTATAGAATCGGCTTTGTATAGAATTACGTGCCCTGTCTACCTAATATAGGCTATTTCCGTTCTTAGTTAGTATTATTAACGGGCGCGTAGCGCGTTACCTAGGAAGGAATTCTACTTAAATCTACTATATACCTAAAATTCGCATTCCTTCCCTCTTTTATAGTAGATTACCTAGCAACTATCGAAAATAGCTAAATCTCTATTATACGAAGAGTTTCTCGATAATCTTATTACTAGTAGTACGGCAGAGATAGTAGAGGTAGTAGAGGCAATAGAGGCGGCGGAGATAGTAGAGGCGGCGGAGGTAGCGGAGGCGGCGGAGGCAGCGATAGATAGTATTATAGACGGTATTATAGACAGTATCGAAGGCGCGCTCTCGGCGATAGACGAAGGTACGCTCTTAGCAGTAAACGAAAGCGCGCTCTCGGCGGTAGACGGTATTAAAGATATTAAAGGTATTAAAGGTATTAAAGGTAAAGAGGTCCGATTTGTCTCGGAGACGCGTATTCGAGGTCGCTATCGCTTACTAAGCCTACCTCGCGAGCGTATCGCTTTATCTAATAATAGGTTAGTATCGCTACGACCTTAGAAGCACCTATTCTTACTAAAGGAGCGCTCTCGTAGTCTAATACCGCGCGAGTCGTAGTTTCCGTCTTATCGAGCTTTTAAGTCGTATATCTATATCTTCGGAAAAGCGACTAGATACGAGTTTAAGTAGTATAAGCCGTAGAAGAATAAGAATAGTATTAAATATCGCTACCGCTAGGTATATAGTTACTTCGGCTTACTAGATAAGCGTACCTAGAAGGAAGTAATAAAGCGGAAGTTAACCTCGAAGAAAATAGGTTATAAATTCTACTTCTACGCTATTACTATCGACCCGAGCTAGCCTAAAGGTTAATAGGTTATCTAGTATTCTACTAAAGAAGATTACTGCTTCTATAACTATAAGAAGGACGATATCGTCGCTCTTGCTATATATAGGCGCCGCTCGAGATCCGCGGAGTTCCTTAAACAACTAGAGCGCTTATAGCAGTCTCGTATGCTAACCTCGAAGATTATAGCCTACTTCCGCGGCCGTAGTATTATTCTTAAGCCAAAGGACGTACGGAATGTCGCATAGGCTCGCAATATAGACGCTCGATAATAGATAAACTAGGCTTAGCGGATAGTTAGGTTATTAGACGAGAATAGTATATTCTACGACATTTACGAGAACCCCGAGAACAGTACTATTCGAAGTATAGTTGCGCTCTACCCTAAGTCTCTCGAGGCCTTTAAGAATACGCTATATACCCTTATTATTAATACGACGTATTTAACTAATATTTATAACCTCGAGCTTCTAGATATTGTCGCTACTAGACCGATAAATAATACTATTAAGCTCGGCGTTAGACTTATTCGACCGAAGCCTAATTAAGCCGATTTTACTACTTTGTTATAGTTACTACGGAAGGGTCTTAAACAGGCTAGTTATCCGCTGCCTCTCGTTATTACTACTAATCGAGAAGTCGCCTTAATGCTAGCGATTAAGGAGGTCTATCTAGGCTTATTAAATATCGTCTGCGACTAGTATCTATAGCAAGATATATTAACTCGTATCCGTAAGGAGCGTAGCGAATTTAGTTAAGTAAAGGGCACCGACGGCTCTTAGACTAATAGTCCTCAAACTAGCAAGTTTCTACGGTTGTTCGCCTACACTATCTATAGTTAAACTAAAGCCGAGTTTAACGAGAACGCTCGGAAACTAGACAACGTCTATCCTATGTTTAAGGCCTGTCTTAATAATAACTAGTAGTACTATAGGACTTATATTGTCGACTACTAGACTAACGAAGTTCTACACTTTAGCTATAAAACAACCTCGCGAGTTAAAGCTACGTATAGACGTATTAAAGTCTAGCTTAACTATAGCAGCCGCTACGATATCTTTACCTTATTTAAGAGCCTTCTTAACTAGTAGAATAAAGGGTATAATCGCCGTCGTATCCGCCTTACTAAGAACCTAAAGAGGTATAATAAAGCACTTACTAGACTATTTTAGGCGAGCGTTTCTCGAGTTATAAGCGATTACTGCCTTCTCGAGGTTAAGAATCTATATTAACGTACTAACGACCTTCTACGGACTATAACTAACGACAACGGTAACGAGATTAAGCACTCGGCGTACTCGTGCCCCTACTTACAATGCCGCTATAACGACTACCTTCGTAAGACGTATAGTTATCCTTATAAATACGATATTATAAAGCTTCTCGAAATAGGTAGAAGCCGCGCTATACTATTACTAAGCTACTTCTATAAGCACTAGTTAATTAACTTCCGTAGAACGTATAATCTACGAGAACTAGAAGTAATCTATAGCAACCGTAAACCTCTTACTAGCGGAGCGATATTATATACTATAAAGCGTATAGCAACGGCTCGAGAATTAGACGACTTAAATAAGGTTATAGTAACTAAGAAGCGGAAGACTCTAACGGCTAGAATAGTCGACTTTGCCTTAGAACTAGGCGTATCTCTTATATAACTTCGTACTACAGTTACTAACTACTATAAGTGCGTAAAGAGCTAATGCCGCACTTAATAATGCCCTTACTAGAAGGCTAATCGACCGTATAGCTCCGCTTGCTATCTAGCCGGCTTTAAGTGTTATAATCTACGAGTTAAGCCTTTATTATTACTTCTAGTCGCTCCGGAGCTACCTTCTAAGCTAGATCTACTTCGCCGAGAGATTAAAGACCTATAAGTACGTAAGAACTAACGTCTATAGGCGGAAGAAGAGCGAGCGAGGTAATAAGCTAATAGTAGCCGCTAGCAGGCGGTATTATATAAGCAATAATAACGATAGGCTACTTAGTAACAATACTAGCACTAATAATAATAGTCGCTTATATAGCTAATAGGGCGGCTACTTTATTACTAGGTGCTATAGCAATAGCACTATTAGTTTACTTAGTAGTAGTATTATATATAGTAGCAGGCTAGTTAGCAACTAAGAGACTAATATAAGCTAGTATATATAGCTTCGCGTAGTTATAAGGCGGCAGGTCGCAATCCGCTTAGACCTAAGTAGATAGCTAACAACTAATAATACCTTGAATTTTGCTATACTACTAATTTGCTAACAAACTTTAGCTTTATAGCTACTAGCAGTAGTATAGTGGTAGTTGCCCGGGCGGAGGGGCTGCAGCGACGCGATTATCCGCTTCTACACGCGATTTTGTATAGAACAGCCGATCTCGTAATCTCGGGTTATGCTGGGGCTCGGGCGGGTAGCTGGGGCTCGGTTTAGTCTCGAGGTGCCGTATCTTGCCGTGGCGGCGTGGCCATGACTAGCACTTCTCCGTATCGGTATTTGTGCTGCGCAAGGCCCACTCGAGCTGCCGGCTTCAAGCTGATGGAAGCCCAATCAACACCAACGAAGGCAGGCTATTCCATGCCAGCTATCGACTTCGGGCATACGCTTCCCACCTCCGTCGAATGAGGCTATAAGACTTCCAGAGGGTGGTTTGTTGAGACCGGCGTGGCCACCAGTCAGATCATGTGGCATCTCGTTCGGCCGCCGTGGACCGTGGGCCATTGAGGGATCTGTTCTGAATATCGCCCGCCAGATGCCGCCTGTTGATGTCCCGCCAAGCTGAAGAATGCCTGAGTAAGCCGAGATCAAAAAGCCATCGGCATCCCGCCAAGCCTGGTCCTGCGATCTTCCGTAAGACCAGAGCTTGCAACAGGGAACTTGTCAACATCCAGACAAAACAAGACTCCCTCCAGAACGATAACAGATGTTGAATCCCCCCCCCCCCACCTCCCCTCCACCCCACCCCTCACCCATCCAAACTCCTAAACCTCGTAGCCAACCACCTCCCCTCAACAACCTCAAAACTCGCCAAACAAACACTCCTCCTCACAACACCAACCGGCATACCCATAACCTCCACCCCAAACCTCAACTCCGCCGTCCCCACCCCTTTAACCTCTGTCCTCATCTCCACACAGCTCACCCTCATCTCCGGATAAAGCCTCGTCATCTTCTTCCAAACCTCCACATACTCCTCCACCCCCATCGACCTCGACGAAAGAAACGAAATCTCCGCCTTCCAGTTTTCCGCTTTATCAAGCCAGATACCACCCGCTTCGTCGAAAAAATCTCGGGAATTGATCGCGTCGATGTGAGTCAGGCATTTGCGTTCGAGCAGCGCTTTGAGCATTCGGGAAGAGGGGGTTTTCATCGTAGGGGGTAAGGCGCGGAGGCCGTCACGGCCGTTTCCGAGGGTTGTGGTGCTGTGAGTCGATTTTGGGTCTTGGTGGGAGAGGGGGAGGGAGGGTGGGGTGAGGTCGAGCATGCTGTCTTTTCGGAGGGTGTCGAGGGGTTTGGTGGAGATCATGGTGGGGGTTGTGTATTCATGAAGATGCGATGATTCAGATTTGGATCGTTTGCCAGATGCCTGCTTGGAGAAAGTAAGGTCGTAATCAATCCCTCTCTTCAATCACCGCAGGAATTGAATTTCCACATCTGGTATCCACGGTCCTGGCGAGAAGTAATGCGCAAAATCAATGAATTGAAAGTCACTTCGGAATATAGAATTACAGCAGCAGATGCGGCATATAAACAGGTTGTGAGACCTACCGTACACTACATACCAATAAGGAATCAAATGGTTCCCCAGCGTCATCCAAATTCTTAGCGTCGTGCTATCGCCGCAACTATTCTCGAGGCGCGGTGTGAGCCATTAACATCGCTTCGTCGGCGACCGGTGTGGAACGGCGTTGTTTCAAAAATCGCTGGATCACATGCTTCTTCCTACTTCTGCCGAACAGCGGTACTGTAATTCTGGATATTCTTTTGCTTGCTTATCTTCAGAAGCATGATGAGTATATGTGCTGGGCTGGATGCGTTTCGTGGACGCCTATGGCCAACTTGTGTCTGCCTCACGAGGAACATCCACTCTCTCGAAAACACTCAAGCAGACGCTCATCTTGATGCATCACTGCTTGTGACTTCTGAGACAGGACGAGAGACGACAGTGAAAATGAATTTCACTTCTCGCAAGTTAGGAGAGTGTTGTTGATGGGTGCGGTATTGTGGTGCTGACGCGAATTCGTAGTTCAGCTGGTCATCAGTCCATAAGGCGGAATCTCGTCCCGTGTTTTAGTAGACGAGTCGTTGTGGTGGTTGCAGGATCGGAAGCTGCAGCAACACTTTGATAACGTGCAGACGTCAGCGAAGCTTTTCGCGAATCCTGGTAAAGCTTCTAGTACGCGTTTGCCCAGTCATGATGGTGATGTTCGAGAAGTCCTGGATGATGGAAGATGCGTGCTGGTCGAAGAGGAGGCGAGGCAAGAGCAGGTGCGAGCGCCCCACCTTTTCATCAGGCAGCGAGCCAAGACAAGACAAGAGAGGAAAGGGGAGGAATACACAAGACCACTCGGACCCGGCAGATTTTCTTCTCGATTTCACGCAGCGGGCATCCAACATACCAGCAGCATTGTTCTTCGGCCAAGTCGCTGCTATCGCCCTTGCCTCTTCCTTCCATGCCGAGCTCAACTCTCAGCATGTCTGGCCTTCCTTCCTCTGATCCGGCCACATCAGTGGAGCCAATTTGCGAAGGCCGCCCAGCAGCAGCTTCCTCGCGAGGCTTCCTTCTGCCTCCTAAGCCGACACGAGCCAAAGCCGAGAAGATCGGCTTCCTCCATCTGCCCGACAACATCCGCAAGCGCATCTATGAGCTTGCCGTGTACGATCATGACCGTACGGCTGTGTTCCTGCCTCGTGGCCTACCACGAAAGGTTGAGCCTCATATTGATGATGTGGATCTAATCCTCACTGAGCTCGTGGAGCATCCCGAAAGACTGAACTGCGACGGAAAGATTGATAACACCGAGCCTTGCCACTGGACTACCTTATATCGACCCGTAGCTAGTGACGACAGCGCCGCTGCTGGTAGCTGGGTCGAGCCCACTCTGCGATTCTCGTCTGCCCACACTCTCGGAATGCCGACTCATGCCGTCTACAAGCGAACCGCTGACGATCTCAACTTCATCAACGACGAGTCGGAAGATGGAGGCGAGGAGTCCGAATCGGGCCCTGAGGCATCAGTCGAAGCGCAAGAGGATATGCTCGACCTGGGCAGACAGGGGGAGGAAGACAGCGAGAACTCCATTGTCTTCGAAGACGCGTCTGAACTTGACCTCGCCCACGGCCCCAATCGCATCAAACTCGAAGAGCAGTCGGAATCTGACGCCAGCGAGTCCTCCGTAGTAGGTCGTTACAGCAAGAACGACAGCATCTTGGACATTGAAGGCGATGAATCCGAAGATGATGAGGATCATGACTCCGAAAACTCGGACGATATTGAGAGCCATGATACTGGTGCATGTGGGATTTTCAACTGCCCTCAATGCTCCCATCGATCGAGGTTCTTCGGTGGAATTCAGGCTGAAGTCAACCCCGAAAAGGATTCCGATGATATCGAGCGCTATGACAGTGAGGAGCTCACCGGCATGCTGTACGAAATCGAAGAACCAGGCATCTTGCTGGCCTGCAAAGAGATCAGAGCTCAATGCCTGCCAGTCTACTACACGCACAACGCCTTCTCATGGCGCTTCTCATGGACGGACTATCAGCGTACCTGCCACAGGTTCAAGAAGTGGCTGAAGTCGGTCGGGCCTGATCATATCAGACTGATCACGAAGATCACGCTCCAGGGCCGTCACCGCGTGGAAGAAGGTATCGAGTTCTCTGCCGACATTGACCTTCTCGACGACTATCCATACTTCGAGACCAATGTCTACATCGAGGACGAAGGACCTGAGCTATGGACTGTCGCAGAAACAATCAATCGCGAGATGTCCAGCTACTTGTGGTTAATGACACAGCATGAGCGAAATCGTCCAACCTTTTCGATCGGTCATCTGTGTGAGCTGGCAAACATGTTTGTGCAGGGCATGCATCGGTGAGCTCATTGGCCTCTCCGCGAGCCAGCAATTCTTGCTAATAAGTTTGTAGGGATGGCGGTGGCTGCGTGCTGGAAGAGGCTACTAAGATGAAGCTCATCCTCAGCCCTCTGTTCTGATTTGGCAACGATCACGAAGTCTTTCATGAATTGAGCCTGGCATGCGTCGCTTTTTTTTGGCAGTAGCAGATCCTCCATGGCTGGCTTACAGTAGCATTTGCAACCAGGTAATGGGCATGGGCCTCAAGGCCTTCAACGTTTGATACGTGGTAGATGTCAAGGTCGGCGAGACATCACCGTCGAAAGAAAGAATATTCATATAGCCAAATTCTAGATTTGCTTCCCCGGTGTTCTGATCTCCCGCAGGCTGCCGGCTGACACTTCTCGGTGGACTCCGATCAGACTGACATTGATACTTGGTACAGGGTATGGCCGTATCATGCACACGGCGTTCATTCGGGCCGGCGGAATCTCGGCTTCACCATGTCGTGGGGTGCTTGGCACCACATTGCAAGCTCCTCCTCTCTTTCATATCGAGATGGATGGCGCGCTCAGCTACCCCTCCCCTGCAGTGACACCAGCGACCTCTCGGCAGCCAAGATGAACTTGACCTATCGAGGAAGGTCGTCCCCCATACTCCTCACGCTCCGCACAACAGATAGCGCGCCCGTACCTTGCCATTATCTCACTGCGTTGCCAAGCAGCGCGAGATCGATCTTGTGGCGAGGATGAGCCAGGCGAAGATCGGCCTGCCTGGCACGCATTGCAATATATAACAGTTAGAGCAGGCCAATTCCAGTACCACTGATGACTATGCCCATTGGACGGCCGCACTACCAAACAGAATATTGCCTCAATTGCGCATTTCGACCATAGATTAATGCGCTCAGCAACCGATTGGGTGCTTGTTTCACTAATTACTCGGGTCAGAACAGAGTGACCACCTTGATGTCGCTTTTCAGGTACGCTGCATTAGCAGCAGGCTTGTCGAAACTGGCGGGAGTGCATGGATGTCAGCAAGAACGGCATTTCTACAGTGGTCAGCATACCAAGCGACAAGTAGGCATTACGAAGCACCTGCGATGAGCCTAGTAACATAGCATGGACTGACATGGTCATTTTTACAGGCTTCGCCGGCTCCAGAACTTACTCCCGACGAAGCACTGATCATAGCATCCTTTGACAACAATAGCATCTCTGACTGGTCGTACTACTACACCCACGGCAACCATCTAGCTGGTCGCAATCGAAGTCAAGCCCAGTGGACAGCAGATCGCTGGGCAGAGGCTGGATTCGAGTCACGCCTCGACAGCTACCACGTCTTTCTCGACTACCCTGTAAGCAAGTCTTTAACCGTGACTTGGCCCAATGGAACGACATATACCCCCAGCCTAGAAGAAGCAGTCCTGGAGGAGGATGATGTAACGGGGTGGGAGAATCGCATTCCAACTTTTCATGGGTACTCGTTCAGCGGCAGTGCCACCGCGGAATATGTTTACGTTGGCCGCGGTCAGAAAGTCGACTTTGAACGACTGGTTGCGCTTGGCGTGCCTCTTGAAGGCAAGATTGCATTGTCACGATATGGTGGGCCGTTCCGGGGCTTGAAAGTCAAGAACGCGCAAGTATGTTGTCCATGATACGAATCATAGTCATGTACTGATCATGCTCTACAGGACTATGGCATGATTGGTGCCGTGCTTTTCACCGACCCAGGAGACGACGGCAATGTGAGTATACCTTTGAGTATAAGGCACGGCTCCAGCCGAGTGTGTGCGACTGAGGCAGTCATGTCAGAGATGGCAGCAATGTCTCACCGCTATGCTTCGGAGCAAGCGTCGTCAGGAACATCGCTAACCCTTATACCCATCGCTTTTAGGTCACTGTTGCTAAGGGTGTTGCGGCTTACCCGGATGGCCCTGCACGTAATCCAACATCGGTACAGCGTGGCAGCGTACAATTTTTGTCCACCTACCCAGGAGATCCTACGACCCCTGGATATCCTTCCAGGGAAGACTCACCACGCTCAGACAAAAGTGCTGTTACTCCGCAGATTCCCAGCATACCGATTTCATACGCCGAGGTGCAGCCTATTCTGGCGGCACTGGACGGCTATGGTACTCCAGGAGCAGAGGTCAATCGTTCTCTATGGATCGGCGCCTTGAATGCAACCTACTCTACTGGGCCAGCACCAGGCCTTACAATCGACATGAGCAACCTGATGGAAGACACCTACACCGACATTTGGAACGTGCGTAACCTTGCATTAAAGTAACACGCGTGTTCGGAAGCTGACTTGGACCGAACAGGCAATTGGCATCATAAATGGCACAAACAGTGACGAGACAATCATCATTGGGAACCATCGCGATGCGTGGATCATTGGCGGCGCTGCAGATCCAAACTCGGGAACGGCTATCATCGTCGAGCTTGGGCGAGTCCTCGGAAAGCTCGTCTCTCAGGGCTGGCAGCCGAAGCGCAACATTGTTCTTTGCTCATGGGATGCCGAGGAGTATGGTCTTGTTGGGTCTACCGAGTGGGTTGAAGAATACATCCCATGGATCAAGGATACTGTGGTATCGTATCTCAACATTGATGTCGGCGCCAGTGGGCCTCATCCGGATATCTCTGGCTCGCCTGAACTGCATGAAATCGCCAAGGAGACAATGAAAAAGGTGATCTGGCCGGCGATGGGTGGGAATGACACGATGTACGATGTCTGGATGGATGACACTAGAGGTGAGGTCGGGGTACTTGGAAGTGGTAGCGACTACACCGCTTTTGTCCATCGTGGCATCGCTTCTGTAAGAATCCATATTTTCTCGTCTACGACAAGACATGCTAATGACTGGTCACAATAGATCGATGTCCATTCTTCCCAAGGTCCAGGCGACCCTATCTACCATTATCATAGCAATTACGACAGCTACCACTGGATGGCGAACTTTGGTGATCCTGGCTTCCTCGTCCACAAAGCAATGGGCCAATACCTTTCTCTAATGGCATACCATCTGGCGAGTGACGATCTCCTGCCACTACAACCACTTAACTATGCCGACCAGATGGACGTTTACTACCAAAATCTGCAGTACGCCATCGGCAACGCGACTCAAGGGGACTCACTTGACACATCTGCGCTGCGCTCCGCCATCGATACCTTCCGCGTCCAAGCGACTGAAGCTGCCGATCTCGCAACTCGAGCAGTGGATGGCAATGATGAAGCCTTGTTGCAGCTCGTCAACGGCAAGTATCGCGACTTTCAACGCGGCTTCGCTTCACAGGGTGGTCTGCCGACAAGAGAATTCTACCAGCATTTGATTTTTGCTCCGGGTCTGGACACCGGCTACGCTCCTGTTACATTTCCTGCCATCACGGAGGCTGTCGACGCGGGAAATTTCTCTTTGGCACAAGAGTGGGTTGGGAAGACTGCGAAGGCTATCCAGGTTGCTGGTGAGATTTTGAGGACTTAGGTTTTCGGCTTGATGGATGTAGGCTTTGAGTTTGCGAGACGGAATGGAATGGTTTGCACTTTGAAGATAGAATAGTAGGATTCTGTGACGGGCAAAACAGGGTACTCGCGGACAGATCCACTCCTTGATCATCAACAAACAACAACATCGATCAGATTCGATCCTCATGAACATCATAACCCATAAGCACAGCATTCACGGCATCATCACTTCTGTGTTGCCCTGCGCGAGGAGCGCGAGGCCAGAGAGGAAGATTTTGGCGAGCCTGAATTTGACAAGGATGTCACGAACGTCTGGAGCAATATCTGGCCCGCTGTCGAAGGCAAGAAGTCAACGAGGCCTGAGGCACTGTACGCGAGATTCCGGCGAAGAGCTTCGGGCAGCTCGAAACTTACCAAGGAATATATACAGCCTGATACGCTGATCCCGCACCCACGCAGCCTATAGATTGGAGAAGAGTCTTGCTCGTTCCAATCAAGTACAAGTTCGGAGAAATGGTCTAGTGGTTGGGCACAGGCGCCTCGAATCGTTAGAGGTGGGCAATTCGTTCGCCCATGCTTCATTCATTGATAATCGGCATGTTCTGGATGTGCGTTCGATTCGCACTTTCTCCATCAATCTTTTCTTGTTTCTTTTTGTCTTGTGCTCTTGCTCGTTTTGGCACTTTCTCGGCGGCATATGTTCGTCACTGCTTGGAATTTTCACTTTTTGTCGATCTGGAAGTCGTTGCTCTTGCTGTTGCGATGGCGACTTCGTGCACGGAGCGACTCAAAGTTCTTGTCGACCACATTGCCGCCAACACTGGCATGTCTTGCGACCACGACCGAGCACATCGCAGACCAACAGCGCAAACATCCACCTTTTCTCAAACGCGAACCTTCTTGCCTCCGCGATCGCCTCCGCGCATTCCAACCTACTCACTATGGCAAGCAAATGAGGCCCAGTCTCCTTCAAATCTCCATGAAGGGCCGCGGAAAAGGCTGTCGGAACGTGTGGCGCAAGACTTGGTCACATCTTACGGACTGCTACGTCCTACTGCCTGTCATCTTCCTTCACGTATGGTGGGTTTGGTCTTACATCTGGATGGTCGAATACCTACTCGATTTCCTGACAGGACGGATCAATCCTTCCTACGACTCTTGCAAGAAGCAGAAACTCAAATACTGCCTGCGAGACGAGCTCGCCGTTGGGTTCAAGGCAGACGGGAGCCTCTTGGACACTAGAGAGGCGGATATTTTCTTCGTGATACTTACCTCGCAATTGGTCATCACCGTTGGAGAGCAGATTACTATGGTATTGGGTCGATCGGGGCCGTGGACTTTGATCATTGTTGAGGCGATGAAGGTCATCGAGTGGATCGTATGGTATGCGATGCAGCTTCAACTCGTTGACCAGTCAGAGTGGAGCCAGCAACATCTCGAGGAATTGGCAGCACGATGTCCTGAGTATTGGCGACCAAGGACTGCGGATGGACTCTACCCTTCTCTGATCTCCAGCCTCATAATGGCATTGTTCGTGTGAGTTGACCTAGACTAGGAGAGAGATTTCTGCGCCGCAAGACTGACACCACCCTCTATGCAGTATGCTATTCTGGCTGATGGTAGTCACTCCTCTGCTATGCTCACTCACGCCAACGACGCCTCGGTACACCATTCCCTGGATATGGAGAGCTTGGAGTTCCTGGAAACGAGACTGAACAGCACGTCTGCGGACGTCAGACTCGGAGAGCTCTTCGACTTTTATACTTTCGAGAGGGTCCACACTATCCTCCAGCGAGGACCAAACGTCTTCAACGACCACATACACGCTATACCTGCCGCCAGCGCAATGACGCACAAGCCGGAGAAAAGGGGACCGTTCCCAATCGCAACGATCAACGGCTCAGTGACGATGGAGCCCACGCAACTGAATATGTTCCTGACGAAATTGTTGAGCGCAATGCCGCTGGATGCTTTTCGAGGCATGAACTCTGTCAACATGGTTGTGACCAGCGCAAAGATGAGCATACTGCCGATGCCAAAAAAGAAGTTTGCAACGAGAGCCCCGGCGACATTGATCTTGTACTGCGCGAACCAGCCGTACGCAAGCAAAGAAAAGGGGTAAAGCATTGCGCCAAGCCACGCATTCTCCTTCATGCGGTCTTCCGGGAGAAAGACCAGTCGACCGTTGGCATCGTAGCGACCAGCGTTGCGTGCTTCGCGATGCATAATGCGATCGACCCATCGACCACCAAATATGCTGGACAGGAAGTACCCGGCGCTGTTTGGCAGATATAGACAACCCACAATGACCGGTCCATAGTTGTACGGAGCTCCAGAGAAGTTCTGCTGCACGGAAACATTGAGTACGTAGAGTTCGGCGAATGTGACACTGGCATAGGCCACCAGAACCGCAACAGCGGGAAACTGAAGATACAACACAACCCGCAAGGGATCGATGAAAGCCCGACGAGCCATGAGCCAATACTTCCTCGTCTTGACATGCACCGATTGCTTCGTCGTCGTTCGTACCAATTCCGGTTGTTCCACTTCCACCCCAGCCTCGTCCACCACCACCAAATCCTTCCGCTGCCTCAGCGTCTCCGGCAAAGCAAAAACAATCAAAACCTCCAAAAACGCCCCAAAAATCGCCAAAAACCACTGCGCCGACCTCCACCCCAACGTCTGCGCAAACGCACCCCCAATGATCGGCGACAACAACGGCCCACACAACGGTCCAAGATAAAACATGCCCATCGCCGCCCCCCTCTCCTTCACCGCCCAAACATCCGCAATCGTCCCCGCCCCCACAGCCTGCACGCTCGCCGCCGCACCCCCGGATAACAACCTCATCACCACAAACACGCCCATACTCCCACTCACCGCGGCCAAAACGTTGAAAACCAAAAACAGAAAAAAACTCACCACGTAGATGGATCTCCGTCCCCACGTTTCCGAAAACGAACTCCACCACAGCGGGAAAATCGACATGCTCAACATGTACATCGCGACACTCAGGTTCGCGGTCGTGGCCGTCGACGAGAAGTCGTGGGTGATCTGTTGTAAGGCCGGGAGCACGATGGAGGACCCCATGGGTGCGGCGGCGCCGGCTAAGGCTACGATTGCGGTGATGGTCCATTTCTTTTTTCGTGGGAGGGCGTAGGGGTTGGTGACTTCGTCCATGCAGCAGAATTTGGAGAGGAGGCCTCGGCGGGAGGGGCGGGGGATGGGGATTGCGATGGCGATTTCGTCGGGGGGGATGCTGGGTTGGGGGGGTTGAGAGTTTCTGGGGTGGGAGGAGGTGGGGATTTGTGGGTCGTGGGCGGGTTCTTCGAGGGGATGGTGGGATGGGTGCCAGGAGGAGGAGGGTGGGTGTGGGAGGGGGAGGATTTTATCGTTGGTTGTCGTTGCTGCCGTTTCGTCGGGTTCGAGTTCTTTGCTGAATGCCGTTTGAGGTCGGGAGGATTCTGAGTCTTCGGTGGATGAGCGGCGTTGGACTTTCTCATCGAATTCCTCTGCTGATTCTTGTTTTTCTACATCTCTGTCGTGGTCTTGGCCCATGCTTGGAGCTGACTCGGCCTTTGCTGCGAACTGGTGTTTCCTAGGAAGTCGATCCGGGGGTTATGGATGGATGCTCGGCCTTCGGCATGTAAGATGACACTTGCTCTCGGTCTCTTTCTTGGAACGTTATGAGGGAAATGATGAGAGCATGAGAAGAAAATGTGCGTTGTAAGATGGCCGACGTGAAGTGCATACCACTACAGTACCTACCGTTTCTCCGTGTAAAGGTCGGGTGATCAATGCCGTAGACTACATTGATGCTGCGACTCATCAACATCAGAATCTGCATGAAAAGGTGCCTACGGTGCCGATTGCCGTGCTCTAGCGTGCATTGTTGATGACAGCTCTACAGCTAGCAGCGACACGACAGCAGTGAGAGATCTGACTTGGGCTTGGCAACGGGACGGGACGGGACTGTCCGCACCTCTCATCGCGCTTCAAGCTTTCCCCGCCCTCCGTTAGCGGACATCATCGGTCTGCATTCTGCATTCAACACCTGTCGCCGTGCTGCTTCTTATCTTTGAAGCTCTTGCATTGACTCGCATCCCAAAGGATTGCCACAATAACCCCTGGAAGCTTGGTTGGGGCAGAGCTACCCTGGACAGCGAATGCAAACCAAGGCGAAGCTTTAGCGCGTCGGTGCTGCAAGTGGCAGAAGGAGCATCGTGGAATGCTGCCGACAAAAAGCATCCGACGCATTTGCAGCCTGCCAGCGACGAGACTAACAAAGCCGCACAGAGCTATAGTCAGTCATCAACATCCCGGAAATGGCGGACGTGGAAACCAGAGCGAAGCTGAAATCGCAATTCTTGGATCGTCCTTCTGACCAGCATATCGAGCGTTGGGATGATTTGTGGAAGCAGGGCGTCACGCCCTGGGATCGAAATGGCCCTAGCGTTGCTCTCAAGGACGCCATTACAGGACACGAGGATTTGTTCGGCTCGCCGGTAGCGGGAGGTGGACGGAAGCGAGCATTGGTGCCTGGATGTGGGAGAGGGTATGATGTGCTTCTGCTGGCGGCACTGGGCTATGATACCTATGGCGTTGATGGATCCGAGACCGCAGTGGGAGAAGCCAGGAAGTTACAGGCGATGTCGGTCGACGATGACATCTACGCTGTCCACGATGCGGAGGTCGGTCGTGGCGAGTCGAGATTCATCCTCGGTGACTTTTTCAACGACGACTTCCTGGAGAGTACTAAGGGCGCCGAGTTCGATGTCGTCTTCGACTACACTTTCCTGTGCGCACTACCTCCTGAAATGAGACCACAGTGGGCACGCCGGATGCGCGATCTGCTATCTCCAAGTGGTCATCTTGTATGTCTGCAGTGGCCTCTGGGCAAGGATCCGAAAGAAGGAGGACCGCCGCACGCACTGACGAATGATTTGTATGTTGAGCTTTTCAAATCGCCGGGCGAGGATGTAGAGTATGGTGAAGATGGCAAGGCTAAGGAGACTGATCGGGAAGTCGGTCCATCGGGCCTGGTCAGAGTGAAGCATTACAGACCAGAGCGCACACATCCCGCTGGCCAGACCAGTGATTACGTGTCGATATGGAAGCGGCAGTAGAGTAGTATCAGTCGCGATAAGCCTCGTTCCACTCGTTTGCATCAAGCCATATCATTTCCGAGAATGTTCTTCCCATCTTACCCCGCCCCCGTTTCCTAGCCCCCCAAATCCGCTACCGCAACCCAATCCCTAACAACCGCTCTCAAACCTCCTCCTAAAACCCGTCGTTACAATTCGATTAGAACTAGCAAAAGGATACAAAAAAAAAAGTTTCGCTTCCTCGTTAAAAAAATTTCCGTTAGTAATAAGAAGTCGGACTCGTAGCGGAAAAGGAGTCTTAGACGACTTTTAGGATTAGTAAAGGAAGAAGGAGGGGTTTGTATAATATATTAGAAGGGGTATAGTATAGTAGTTTAGAATACGCTAGGTAAATTTATATATATTAATCCGTCTACGGAATATAATAGAGACAAATTCTAATGTGTTGTAGGTAGGATCTGAGTATAAGCTAATAGTGGAAGTAGAGATTGTCGCTAGTTGGCTAAGGATAAGGCTTCGGCCGGGAGTGGCAAGTGCACAGGCCGGAAGGTGAACCCAAAACCTCATTCAACTTCACGTCGCCACACCCAGACATCATCCGGACGAAGAGATGGCGTTGTCACAATCTATACCATTAAAACTACTATACTGTATTCATTCTGCGCTTCGCCATCTAGACACAATGCCAGCTTTTCATGGAACCCAAACGCCAACGCTAAGACCAACCAACCACCTAAACCGCACGAATCCCCTCTCTTTCCACATCGAACTTCTCATCCAAAGCCGCTCCAGTACTCATGGCCCCACCAACCATAACCTCAGATTCCGCCCTCCGACTACTCCTTTCCACACCCTTCTTCTGTCTCGTCTCCCTCCTCCTCCGATCCTCAGCCATGCGTCTAATCAAAGCCGACTTCTCACGGATTTTGTGGCCGTAGCGATAGAAAATGAAGGGGATGGGGATGAACAGTGCCTCGAGAAGTCCGAGGAGCATGCCAGCCCAATTCGCACCGAGAGTTCGGTAAAGTGAAGGTCCGGCAAGTGGTAGGGTGGCGCCCATGACGGATCGTAATACGGCGTTTCCAGCGAGTGCGGATGCGGCGTAGATGCCGTAGGATTGGACGAGGTAGTTACTCGCGTAGATGAAGACACCTGCGTTTCCGGCACCGAAGGGAATGCCGGCTAAGATGGGCTTTACGATTGTCAGCTTGTAGTATTAACATGTTGTCGGTCGACTTACCACGATCCAATGCACATTCGGAGTGCAAGTCCAAGCAAAGATAATCTCGCCCGCAGGGATCAAAACGGAGGCAATGCACACCACGCTGACCATAGCTTCCGGATAAGGACGGTCGGTCTCGGGATCATGTTTATGCGCATTGATCATGCGGCGGATCAAGGGCTCTGAGACGATGACGACCATGCCGCCTATCCCGATGCCGGAAAATGAAAGGCCGGTAAATCCAGGTGTCCAGCCGCGTAGATCGCGGAACACGATTGGATATGCAACGAAGCAAAGATAGAGCACGCCATAAACGAGTGCTATATACACATCCCAGAACATGCTGCAATTCATCATTAGCTTTCTGACGTTCTGTGCATCTGAATCTCGTGGAGATCGTACCAAATGGGCTCCGTTACTGTCAAGATGAATGGTCTGGACAGGTTCAGCTTCAGTAGAGGCCAGAATTTCTCGGTGTCGTCGTAGCGGCTCCACCAGGTATTATCTCCAGTGTCTTTGCGCTTTTTGTGCGCCTTGCGTCTGAGAAGAGCAGGCGCATATGTCTCGGGCACCAAAGCAACGAGGATGCACGCAACGCCGGAAACTATCACAACGACCCCTGGCATGTCCGTCAGCCTCGAGGACGAACAGATTTTGACATTTGTCGCAGCGCTTACAATTCGTCCACCTCCAACCCAGATATTGATACACGAACCCCCCTACGACCGGACCTGCGATTGCTTTAGTACCTCGTCCGCCATTACGATGATGCCAACTCACCGATGACCGGACCATTCATTGGCCCAATGGACCACACGGAGAAGGCCAGCGCTCGGTGATCCTCGTCGACGATATCATTAACGGTTCCTGGAGCATTACTGATCATGGCGGCCGCGCAGAAAGCGCCCAAGAAACGAATGACCAGAATTGTTGCAATGTTCTTCGCAAGTGCGCAAGGGATGACAAGGACAACAAAAAGGGTCATGGTGATGAGATAGACGATCCGGCGACCATACATCTCGCTGAGTGGAGCGAGCACGACCGACCCAGTGGCCATACCGAGCAGATAGGTCGTCACTCCCAAGATGCCCTCGTTCTCCGACAGGCCCCACTCTTTGGTCATGCCTGGAATAGCAGAGGTATATGAAGTCGAGTACAGGACGGTAGAAGTGGTTGCTAAGCTGAAGATCATGATGACGATGCCTTTATACCAGAGGGCCCAGTCCTGTGGATTTTCTCTCGTGTCTTGGTCGAAATCGACTTCAAAAGCCATGTCCTGGGTAGCAGCGGTGCCGGCGGTGCCTTGAGTCCATGTTCGAGTTGGGACGATACCACCAACGGCGTTCGTCGAACTCGTCCTGGAGAGGTGGGGCTGAAGTGCATTGTCGGCCAAATCCTGACTGTGCCGGGTGTATCTTGAAGGTGTGGATGCTATGGAGATGCTGTCGGAAGCGGTAGAGACTGGGGATAAGGGTGGCTCGATAGACATGTGCGAAGGCCTTCTCTCGGCGACGGCAGGCTCCTTGGTGATGGAGTGGTCGGAATGCATTTGGTCAGACATGATAGGGGTGTGTTTGGTGGGACGAGCAGTGGGAAAAGCTGGGATACACGTCGTTTGCAATTGCGAAAGGATGCCAAGTCGGCTTGAATTAACAATAGGCGGCGTTAAAGACGGGTGTAATAGTGTGCATGGGAACAAGCTCTGTCCCGTGATGGATTCGCGATGGCGGCTAAGAAGGGTAGCTGGTGTTGGGAAGAGGGGGGCCAGGTGGATGGTGAAGTGCACCTACAAGATGTGAGCAAATTTCGCAGGCAAGGACGCGCTTTCTTCTTTTCCAAGTGGGACTCATGGCTTCGGCCAGCAGAAGGTGCTCGGGTCGCTAAAGCCGGCTGCATGCACTCAGTGGTAGGACAGTGTCCGGCTAGAGCAGGCGATGCGATGCGATGCGATGCTGGGATTTCGAATAGCGCGGCGTACTTCTCGATCAACTGCCTCTGTCACAATAAGCACATATGGACGAAGGTCGATGTGATGTTGACTGGCTGTTTCTCGGCATGGGCCAGCATTGTGGGTGTGACTTGGGTGCGTCTTGAATTCGCCATCGCCAATGGCTATTCATCTGGTCACACTACTCCGGATAATCGGCACCAAAGGGCAGTGCGGCGCCCGTCCGCGCCATCAATGCTTGTCTGTTCAAGAATCAGCACGCGTAGAGATCGGTGCAGCAGACTCATCATTGGGGGTGCTGTACGCTACGTACCATCTCGATGCGCAATAATAATCACGAATGCGCTGGAGGAGAGGTCGGCATGGCTCCGCACATCGCACATCGATCGGCCTTGGCGAGACGGTATACAGCAAGCAATACCTGTGGTCAGCTGCAGCATCCTGCCGTGATCGAAGCAGTAGAACTATCGCCTCCCTCAGCATATTCAACGCCGCAAAAGGAATCTGGGTCCCGCGGCAGACTCGAGCTGTCGCGGTCAGTCCACTGTCGCATCTTGATTCTCGAACTCGCCACGTCAAGCTCTTTACACACCCTACTCCGTCAGCCTGTCCTGGCCAAATCTAGCACCAGTCACGTGCCCTTGTCTTGGCCAGCAGGCGGAGAAACACGGACATCGTACCTCCCAAGTCCCAGGATGTCTTCCAAAGCCGGAGCGCATGGTGGACGTGCAGCAGGGGTCCATGGCCGGCTCTTGACCAATCTCACAGAAATATCAGAATCACGATCAAACGGAAGAGCTCCACCCTAAGCGCCTGATGAGAGGCAGATGATGAAAGAAAGAGTGGTCAGCAAGAGGCAAGAGCCGCCCCAAACCTCAACCTCCGCGAACCGAACCGAACCGAACCGAACCGCACGTGATGTGAGGCTCATAAGTATGAAACTAAAAGACAAAGACAGCCTCGGGAAAACGATCCACTAAGCCGGTGGCGGCAGAGCGGGAAGTAAGTAAGCTGCGACTTCAACTCTCACTCCTCTCGCATCCAGTCACAGCTGTCCATTCATCCGAGGCCTCCAAAAGACTCTCACTGCGAACGGAGAGCATATGCTTCCTCGGTCGAAGAATCGCATGGGGCGTTGCCGCCTTGCTGTACAAACATCGGACGAGATCGGGTAGGCGTAACTTATCTGCCACACCTGTGCTTTATAGGAACTCGGCTCTGCACCTATTGTGACGTGATGCCCCATCTTTAATCCTCTCCCCTCTTCAAACACGGACTTCTCCCCTTGATTGACAAGGACATTGCTGTCTGAAAACTACCACTAACATCCCTGACCTCTCGACACGCTGGCGGACACATTGAAAAGCATTGCCTCGAGCATATTGTCTGTCCTTCCCCAGCTCCCTTCCACCATGTCTAGCGATGCGGAACAGCAGCACTTTGAGGAAGAGGTGAAAGAGCTGAAGCAGTGGTGGAATGATTCCAGATGGCGCTACACCCGCAGACCATATACTGCCGAGTCGATCGTCTCGAAGCGTGGAAGCATCAAGATTGAATACCCAAGTAATCAGATATCGAAAAAGCTATGGCGTATTGTGGAGCAAAGATTCCAGGTCAGTCATAACGCAAAGCATTGAGCCCAAAAGTATCATACTGATCTTGGAACAGAACAAAGATGCTTCCTTCACATTCGGCTGTCTTGATCCAGTCATGGTCACGCAGATGGCCAAGTACTTGGACACTGTCTACGTTTCCGGCTGGCAATCATCGAGCACTGCATCCAGCTCCAACGAGCCAGGTCCAGATCTTGCCGATTACCCGTACACAACTGTTCCAAACAAGGTCGAGCATCTGTTCATGGCCCAACTTTTCCACGATCGCAAGCAGCGCGAAGAACGCCTCAGCACCCCAGCTAGTGAACGATCGAAGCTCACCAACACTGACTTTTTGCGTCCAATCATCGCTGATGCCGATACGGGACACGGTGGTCTGACTGCAGTCATGAAACTGACCAAACTGTTCGTGGAGAAGGGTGCTGCTGGCATTCATATCGAGGATCAAATGCCAGGGACCAAGAAGTGTGGACACATGGCTGGAAAGGTGCTTGTTCCTGTAAATGAGCACATCAACAGACTGGTCGCCATCCGCGCTCAGGCCGACATCATGGGCGTCGACCTCCTCGCCGTGGCCAGAACTGACTCCGAAGCCGCAACTCTGATCACCAGCACCATCGACTCTCGGGATCATGCCTACATTCTCGGAGCCACAAACCCAGCTCTCCAACCACTAAACGACCTCATGGTTGCCGCCGAGCAAGCGGGAAAATTCGGTCCAGAACTGCAAGCTGTCGAAGACGCATGGAATGCTCAAGCTGGTCTCAAACTCTTCCACCAAGCCGTCGCCGACACCATCAACGCAGGCGTTCACGTCAACAAGCAAGGTCTCATCGACGAATTCAACAAGCAAGCAAAAGGCAAAAGCAATTCCGAAGCTCGCGCCATCGCCAAGGGCCTCACTGGCGTAGACGTCCACTTCGACTGGGATTCTCCACGCACACGCGAAGGCTACTACCGCTACCAAGGCGGCACTCAATGCGCCGTGATGCGTGCATGCGCTTATGCTCCATACGCCGACATGATCTGGATGGAAAGTAAACTCCCCGACTACGCTCAAGCCAAAGAATTCGCCGATGGTGTCCACGCCGTCTGGCCCGAACAAAAGTACGCCCCAGTCTCACTCCCCCCTTCCTTCTCAAT